ACCCTTCTAGACCAGTAGACCAGCAAGAAGCTCTAACAGTCACAAGTTTCTCATTCTGGTCTTTGGCTGATTTATTTTCCCATTTGCTACTGTCTAGTGGGGGTTTATGAAACGTGTGGTTTTTGCTACTCACAATTCAAGTCAGCACACATGCTGCTATTTGATTATCCACAGTGCTGCGTACATTGACTAAGCCATTGACTAAGTTTGGAGAGAGCCAGAGAGGGAATGTACTCAGAATTCTGCACAGCATTCGTGGTTGCACAAAGAATTTACACAATTTAGCAAAATGTGGAAATAACTGCTTTTAAATTACCTATCTATTACTGAAGTCATTTACACAAGTCTCTGCATTTATAAGCCTATAACTAATTCAATGATATTAAATGGTTCTAGTGCCTGTAGTATCCATTTAATTCATAAGGGTAGTCCAGGCATGGAACCATGTGCTCACTTTTTACTGGCCTACCCGAACGTCGGTTCCCGCACACCACAACCGACTTATGCCACCACTACTATAACTTGGCTTATTTTCCCCGACCACAAATAGAAGGCTGAGCCTGTGGGTGAAGCCTGGAATTGTGGGAGGGGTTAGTTTGCCTATAAATATACAGACTACACCTTCCTCTGTGCTGTTGCTGCCTGGTTCAGCCCACCGCTCCCTTTATCAAACCATTCAATTTGCGGGGCCCTCTTTTTACTGGCCAACCCGAATGTCGGTTCCCACACACCACAACCGACTTATGCCACCACTACTATGACTCGGCTTATTGTCCCCTACCACAAGTATATATATATATATATATATATATATATAAATATATATATATGCCATTTTATTCTAACTGTATTTTGATATTAATATATATATACATATATATATATTTATATCAAAATACACTTAGAATAAAATTATATATATATATATATATATATACCTATGTATATATAAATAAAAATAATACGAAATATATATGTCTGTATATATATATATATATCCATATTCATAATTACATAAATAATTTCATAAATTTACAGGTAGACTTTAATTTGCTAACACTGTATTTAACCCTGTAACTTTAGATTACAGCCAAAAACCTGTACATAGGGGGTACTGTTTGTGTGAACCCATATAATAGTGCTTCAAAACATTAAAACATATCAGAGCGATGATATTGTCAGTGAAATTGACGTTTTTTGCACTAATATTTGTGTTCAGCAAAGTCTCCCGAGTATAACAGTACCCCGATGTACAGGTTTTATAATGTTTTTGAAAGTTACAGGGTCAAATATATATGGCTTGATTTTCCATTTTTTCACATTGAAATTTTCCAGATTGGTTATGTTGCCTTTGAGAGCGTATGGTAGCCCAGGAATGAGAATTTACCCCCATGATGGCATAACATTTGTAAAAGAAGACAACCCAAGGTATTGCAAATGGGGTATGTTCAGTCTTTTTTTAGTAGCCACTTAGTCACAAACACTGGCCAAATTTAGCATTCATAATAGTTTTTTTGCATGTTTAACACACACACAAACAAATATAAAAGTTAACTTTGTCCAGTGTTTGTGACTAAGTGGCTACGACAAAAGACTGGACATACCCCATATTGAATACCCTGGGTTGTCTACTTTAAAAAAAATTACATTCAGAGCAGGTCCAGGGGGAAGAGATTTATGACAGATAACAGTGTTACAATATCACTATTGATAAACTTTAAAAATATATATTTTGAAACATCAATAACTTGCAAAAAAGCATGTAAAAATTGGGTGTTTTTAAACTCAGGACAAAATTTTGAATCTATTTAGCATTTTTTTCATTAGCTTTTGTAGATGAATAAAAGATTTTTGAAGTAAAAGTAAAAAAAAACATGTATTTTTTTAAACTTTTCACCATATTTTTATTTTATTTTTAAAGTAAATTATATGACAGGATACAAATAATGGTATGTAAAGATTCCTGTCCTGAAAAAAACCCAATATACAATTTGTATGGGAACAGTAAAAGAGAGAGAGGAAAATTACAGCTAAACAAACACTACAAAAGTGTTGAAACAGCCCTGGTCCTTAACGTACAACATGGCCAAAACAATCCGGTCCTTAAGGGGTTAAAGTGATACCTTGAACTTGACAAGTGTATGCCTCCACAAATAAACACATAGTCCGTACTGAACCCATGAGCTTCAAATAAATGTCTTAAATGTGTCACGTGTAGCTACTTATAGTACTTTATTATTAATCAATGTCTGACTTGAAATAATATTGCATGTGTAAGCTCAACAGAGAACCCGGAACAGGTATCCATGTCCTAATGAAAATAGAGATGAACATAAATATAACAAAAGCTTAAGACACTTTCACCCCTCGGTCTCAATGAGGGCTTCTCATATTCGTCCTTTATATCGGATTAATCTATCAAATTCCCCCATACGTCATGTAAATAAATTTGTTTCTAAATCTATAAATTTGTATAAATGCATGATACAATTGTAATTATGTTATATAGCACCAGTAGATTATTATTATTTTTATTTTGATTGTTATATTTATGTTCATCTCTATTTTCATTAGGACATGGATACCTGTTCCGGGTTGTCTGGTGAGCTTACACATGCAATATTATAGAGACGGCTTCAATTTACCTAAGGATACATGGTCCCTATTATCATATCATTTTTGTAGATATACAGTTCTGAGCCACTATGGACACATATTGGGGTGTAGGTATTAGATACAATACTCAATGAAACATATAGATACATGATGATTATTCATTCTGGCTCACAATCCATTTGGAGTGACTGTACACAATATACATAGTAAATCTACTAAGGTCTATTGTTTGCATACATGGGTTGAATATGGATCTTTATAAGATTGCATATCTTGTTGGTCCTAGATCCAGCTACATACAGCACATATCTTGCACATAGGACAATAAATTCTCCCATTACTAGACGCACATGTGGGCTATGTATATAATAGGGACAACTCTTGACGGTCGATATGACGCCTAATAGGCTTGGGAGTTAGAATCCATAACACTACAGACTCAGTCTGTTATGGAGCAAGTGACTAACCCCGCCCATGTGGGCTGGACGCCGCAATATGTTCCATGCTAGTAAGCGACTAGCCCCACCTATGTGGGTTGGACTTTACATTTGGATCCCTAAACAGAGTCAATAAGACACCTCCCAGCTCTGATCACGTGGGGTACCTCTCTGTAAGCCGATTGGAAGTAATAGACAGCGTGAGTGCCGACAGCAGCCGCACCTGGGTTAGATTTTCCCCTTGGACATCATTGGCTACAGGTACTCAGGTTCTTTGGTGCCCATTATACTTAAGAGAGTCCTGATCATTCTCCTGTTGGCCCCTGACAAAGGTGCAGTACACAAGCACCGAAACGCGCGTCGGGCGTTTTTTCCTTTTTATTTTCTTTATTATGGGCACTGGGCATCGTATTTAAGCACTCAAATTCAAATATGATTTGATTATATTTCCCTATCCTATTTCTTTGCTACTATGCCTGTCTAGATAGTTATACAGGGAGAGAGGCTTTATACATTTTATAGTCAGTTTATTTGAAACTGACCTCCTTATTTCATACTGCTTACTCCCTCTCTTTTCTATCTGCAAGTATTTCTGCTCTGGATACTATTGTGCAGCAATCCTACATTGTTTGTTTGGTCTTTTTGTGACCACGATCAACAGCCCTAAACTGCCTTTTACTTTAGGGACCTGATCCATTATTGCTAGTTAGCTAACTTGGATGACTCCACATTGGGTTTTTGTAAACCCTGGACAGTTAGGGTTCGAGATCTAGTACTTTAGGAGACAGCACCCAGAGGAGCACAAGTGTTATACCAGAGATAGGGGTCATAAGTTGGGATTGTTTTTTTCATTTAAGCTAGTCTCTTAATAAAGCTTTATTTCAGTATCTTATATCATATCCCCTTATTCTCTTGGAAGTGACCTCTACCTGCTTCTACCTTGGATGCATAGTTGCATTAGTTACACTTGTATATACCTTATTTTTCACTTATTTCATGGTCTCAATTTTGTTTTGGGTTAGTCTAGCCAATAATTAATACTTATTTCCTACGTGGCTATGTTTATATCCAGGTGATGCACATGGTCTCATGTCTTTACCTACATTGAGACTATTAGCATCTATCCTTTTTCATTCATATAATATTTATATTATGCATATTTTTTGCAGTAAACTAATTGTCCCTTTTGGTTCATCTGTTTACCTTACCGAAATTTTGCTGAACCTCCATATGGTCAAAATTCAACCATTCCAAAAAAATTATTATTTCCTGAAAAATTGGTTAGTTGAACCGTGCACAAATCTAATGGTTAATAAGATCATCAAAAGATATTTTGAAGTAGGAAACATTTATTAATGGGAATGTGTACTAATGCCCAAAATGCACAATGTTTTCCCAATAATGCAACACTTCTGACAGTATATCATTTACATTCCCATATGCACTTTATGATTGACCCACTGACACGAAAGTTACATCTCATGCAAACAAAAAGTTACAGAAATGTGTATGTTTTATTCATGCATTTTATAGTAATCAGCCTAGCATAATGTAACAATACAGCTATTACTCTTTAAAGAGGACAAGTAACATGGCAATTTATTTATTTTTTACATTTTTTTTAAAGAACTTAAGACAAATATGTACTGCTTTGCTACAGTATTGATGCGAGAAAATTCAAAAACACATGCACAACTCAATTGCCTTACATAGACATAGGCCTTGATTTAAAGGGATATATTAGGAATACAAAGCTGTATTTCTCCTTGACGATATAAAGGATTTTTTTTTTAAAATGGCGCTAGGTGAGGCTCCTCTTTCGATGTCAGATGATAGGGGGAACCTAATGTGCGTGTGTGCAGGTAGTGGTTATTGTGTGGTGTTACCCATTATACCGACAAACCCGCTCCCCCCCCCCCCTTCCTCCACTAATTAAGACCAAGAAACGTAAATGTGGTATAAACAGGCCACAGCTTTATTTATTTATAAATAACAAGCATAAATATATACCAATATTAACTATCCTTTAATATAAGCATAATGTAACTCAAACTCGTCCTTGCCAACCGGACCAAACAACTCTAGAGTACCCCCTTTTCGGGGCCTGCCCTCCCCCCTCGTCCGAGATAACTGGCCTTCACCTTGGCCTTCCAATACCCCATGCCAACCCCTGGCCGCCTTTCCTGGCACGGAGGGCACGCCCAATTACCAAACATTTTCTGAGGTTAGGGGAGGGACCAGACCCAGCATTCCTTCTTCCAGTGTACTCCTTTCCCAACTGGTTCGGCAAGGACCATACCCGCCAGCTGTGACAAGAAAGAGAATTAGTGATACGCAATGGAAAACAAGCAACAAAGGGTGGGAGGGAAGATGTTACCAGCCGTTATTTGTAAGATGGCTGAGGTAAGGGGACAAAATGACTGCTCTTTATATGACCCCACCCCACCTCTAACCTAAGTGACACCCCAACTTGTGACACCTACACCCACCACACCCACCCATGCCTCCGGCTAGCTTTCAGCCCTCCTCCTCTGGGCCTTGAGTGGCAAGCACCGTATGCGCATTAGGCCTCCCCATAGGAAGGCATTGACTCACTGTTATCATATGGGGTTTCTTAACACACTGGACATGCTCATTGAAAGCATAAAGATGTCCACAGTCAAACTCTGTGAAACAATAGGAATAGAGTCTGTGCAAAAGATGATTTGGTAAACATAACTCTCTTGCAAGGTCTTCCCCAAATTGCCTTATGCTGAAAAGATATGTCAGAGGTTAGTGCTCAGATTACAGTATCTTTAATATCTAAACCTCTGTCTAGCGTTTCAGCCATCTAAAGTCAACAAACTAAGTATTATCGACTATTATATTAAATAATAACATCCAAAGCTAATTGAAAAACAGCAAAAGCTAAACTTGTAATTACCAGTCAAACATTTTTCTTATTACATTCCATAGAACACTGTTCTTTTTTTCAAGCATGCTGAAGAATACAAGGAATGCTGCTTTGATAACAATTCTTGACAAGGTGAAGTTGCAAGCAGTTAATGTAAAAAATATAGAGTTAGAAAAGACACTGCTACCTGTGAAACTATACAGTATCAACTCACATATGAGCCACCCTTGTCTGCCACTTCTACACTTCATTATGATGTCACCTTGGAAATTATAACTAAGTATAAAATACACTAAGGAGTTTTGATCCACTTAATTTAACTTGACAAGAACTGTAAATTAACAATATGCAAATTTGTTTTTAAACAAGTTAAAATTCCTTCGTACAGCAGTTCACTAAACATTACTGGAACAAGTTCTATTCTGCCAACTATATGAGCAGAACATCTGTAGATAACAGAAAACACTCTTACTTTTCATTTAAAACATCTTGCAATATGTGCTCCCGTTTTCTCATTGCTTTACGAGATAAAAAAAATAAATAAAATTAGGTGAACCTGTATTCAGCAACAATCTGTACATAATGAAATCTAAACAAGTTTTCAAGAGCCATATTTCCATATTTATAATAGAGACTTAATTAGTTCTCAATACAGCATTTATATTGCATGTTATTATTTTTGTTGTAATTTGGTTGTGTTTATTATGTACGGAAAATCACATTCTTACAGATCATCCAATGACATTAAATGATTTAGGAAGAGGTTTAATTTAAATGTTATATACAAAACACTACTGTTAAAGGCTTTTTTTTTTCAAATAATATTGACTCATATTAAAGAAACACTCCAAGCACTATAACCCTGACTATAGTAGTCAGGGCCGGCGCGTCCTAAATGCGACTTAGGCAGTCGCCTAGGGTGCACCAGCCAGGGGGTGCCATATTTAAGTAACCTGGTAGGAGGAAAACGCACAGCGCTCCCTCCTACCGGGTCACTCAGTGTAGCATGGCTGGGCAGCGCAGCCTACAGTACAGGAGTTTTGTTTTCTGTACCCGGCCGGATTGAGCACTTCCAGTCAGTCCGGCCAGGTACAGGAAACAGAACTCCTGTACTGTGGTCTGTACCGTCCGGCCACGCTACAAAGAGGTAGGAGGCACACCAGGGAAGGGAGGGGGGATGGCACTAAGCGACACTGGGGAGAGAGCACCAAGGACATGGGGAGAGACAGCACTAAGGAACACTGGGGGGAGACCACACTAAGGACAATGGGGCAGCACTAAGGGACACTGGGGAGACAGCACTAGTGGACAATGGGAGGGAGACACAGCACCCAAGGGACACTGGGGGAGAGACAGCATTAAGGACACGGGGACAGCACTAAGGGACACTGGGGGAGACAGCAATAGGGGACACTGGGGGGGCAGCACTACAGGACACTGGGGAGCAGACAGCACTAAGGGACACTGGGGAGAGACAGCACGAAGGGACACTGGGTGGGGAGAGACAGCTCTAAGGAACACTGGGGGGAGACAGCACTACATGGGGGCAGGCACCACTAAGGGACAGATGGGGTGAGAGAGACTACTACAAGGAAAGATGGGGGGGGTATGAGAATTGACCACTAAGGGAAAGATGGGGAGAAGGGGAGAGGAGAGACCACTAAGAGAAAGATCAGGGGGATACCACTAAGGGAAAGATGGAGGTGGGTAGAGACTACTAAGGGAAAGATGGGGGTGGGGAGACTACTAAGGGAAAGATGGGGGACACACCAATAAAGGAAAGGTGGGTAAAGGGGGAGACTCTAAGGGACAGGGGGAGGGAGAGCACTATGGGAATGGGGGGTGCAGGGGAGATCACTAAGGGTCAGGGGGAGCATTAAGGAATTGGGGGCAGAGGAGAGCAATAAGGGTCAGGAGGGGAGGGGAGAGGAGATCACTAAGGGACAGGAGGGAAGTGGAGAGCACTAAGGGACAGGGGGGCACATGGGATCATGGGATCATGAGGGCAGGGGAGATCACTAAGGGGCAGGGGAGATCACAAAGGGACAGGGTGCAGGTGAGATCACTGAGGGATGGGAGGGGAGAGCAGTAATGGATAGGAGAGCACAAAGGGGCAGGAGCAGAGGGGAGACCTCTAAGGGACAGGAGGACAGGAGGAGAAGTGAAGATGAGACCACTAAGGGACGGGGGAAGTGGTAGAGATCATTAAGGGAGTGTAAGACACACAGAGAGGCTGAGGAAGGGGTGAAAGAGAAGCACAGAAGGGCTGGTAGGGGAGACAGAGACACACAGAGAGGCTAAGGTTAGAGACACGCAGAGTCGCTTGTGAGGGAGACACACAGAGGGGCCAGAGGGGAAAAGAGACACAGCAAGGAGCTGGGAAGAGTAAGACACAAAGGGGCTGGGGGAGTAAGACACATCAAGTGGTTTGGAGGATACAGAAGCTTACAAAGAGGAGGGGGGATAAGAGACACACAAGGGGCTTGTAAGAGATACACTAAAGGGGGGTGTAAGACAAAAAACTTTAAGAAAAAATATATTAACAAAATATATTAACAAAATATAAAAAAAATTAAAATCAGCCCCTACCCTACCCTACAAACCCTCTCCTCACACTAAAGACATACACAATGCATCCTTACACATACATAGAAGCACACAACGCATGCCTACACACACATGCACAGAAACATACAATGCATCCCTACTCACATACAGGCACACTGAAACATACAATGCATCATACACAGAAACACACCATGCTTCCCTTACACACACACACACACAATGCATACCTCACAAACACACATATACACAGAAACACACATACAAACACAGATTCACACAATGCATCCCTTACACACACACACTACATCCCTTACACAAACTAGTATCCCTATACACTACATTCCATAAGAACACACACATTACATCCTCTACAATAACACATAACACATCCCCTACACACATACACTCCACTCCCTGTGAGCAAACTCATGGGTGGGCCTTGTAGGCATACTCACGGTCAGGCCCAGAGTTGCTTCCTGTTCATTGATGTTTGTGAGCACTGCCTCCAGAGAGCCTGTTTTAACACCAGACCAGTGGAGCCAGACTCCAGCCTGAGCCCATCATCATCCTCTTGTCCTCATCTGGTGGTAAGTAGGCAATCCAGTATATTATTAGTGGCAGTTATCTCTAATTTACCTCCCCACTCCCTGTGAGCAAACTCATGGGTGGGCCTTGTAGGCATACTCACGGTCAGGCCCAGAGTTGCTTCCTGTTCATTGATGTTTGTGAGCACTGCCTCCAGAGAGCCTGTTTTAACACCAGACCAGTGGAGCCAGACTGCAGCCTGAGCCCATCATCATCCTCTTGTCCTCATCTGGTGGTAAGTAGGCAATCCAGTATATTATTAGTGGCACTTATCTCTAATTTACCTCACATTGAAAGGTCACTATAGTCACCAGAACCACTACAGCTTAATGTAGTGGTTCTGGTGTCTATAGCCTGTCCCTGCAGGCTTTTTAATGTAAACACACACGCCACTGGCGTTGGCTCATATGGCAGATCATATGGCTGGGGCATTGTAATGTTACATGGTGGGCAGAGCATATGGGGGGGCAGCAAATTTTTGTTTGCCTAGGGTGGCAAAAAACTGTACTATAATGGTTTGACTACTTATTGTGGGATAGTGCCAAGACACTATGTGGCTGTAGTTGTTATGGTGCTTGGATTGTTTTTCATAATATGTGTATACACAGAAAATATAAGTGACCAGTACAGGGACTGGCAACTTTTATGAGGTGTATCTTACATTTGTTACGTGTTTAGTACTAAGCCCAACAACTGTTTTCTTGGCTATTCAAATGCCAAATCCATGAATTAAACATAAATAGGTTAATGCATCCACTTTGTATGATAATATAACTTTATGTGCTCTAAGTTTTTAAGGCTTTTTTCAGTTCATTCAAACATGGGTCATTTCATTATCTATTGTATATGTTGCTGTCTCATGTGAAAAGCTTTTAGGTTTATGAATCCCTGTAAAATATATAGAATGTTTAACCCTAAGTTTTCAGCTCCACTTCCAACATATGCTTTTATCTCTATATTTACTACTTAGCATAGTATAATATATCTGTATAACATAAATCAACACAGTCACCAGTTATGTCCATTAAAGTATATATATATATGTACATAAGTACCTGTTTATGAGGCATATCATACTTAAATAAAAATGTTTAATTGATCCCAGATTTTACAGCGATTAGAGTTATTCAACATATTACACACTATGGCCTTGATTTAATATTAAACAAAAATCTGTACACCCGTCAAGCCACCAGACTTGCTTTTCCCACAGAAATCACAAATTTGCAATGATGTTACTACTGCAAAGGATTATGGGCGGACATATGCAAATTACTTTAACAAAGAATCACATTTTTGCTTTATTCCATTTTAAACATGGATTCCTTTGAGTCTGTATATGCAATCTATTATACATCTTGACATTACAGACATGTTAATTAATAGTGTAATCATTATTTCACCCATTGCTCCAATCAAATTAATTTAATAGAATATTGCACAATGAAAAATAGATCATAATAATTTAAAGAAAGTCAAATCTTTCAGGTTTTCTGGTATAACTATATAAAAATATGAAATAAAATAACTAAATATATCTCAGGTAATACTCAGGTTAAACTGATTATGAAAATTAGGAAAATAAAAACATGCACCTCAATGAGATACTGTTCAAGTTAAGTGAATGAATGAAAAGGTCATCTTTCAATTAGCATCCTAAAGGTAAGCCACAACTTCCTCAATAATTAATTGTGTTTAAATTAGCTCTTTAATAGCTTACGCTGAGTCACAAAAAAATATTATATTTAAAATCATGGGTATCAGATAAATAAATATAATGTGTTGATACAACTTACAAAGTAGAGCAAAGAGTTCACGTAGAAGAGGGTGATTAAATGCATTTTGTTTTATAAATGTCTCAATTCACATGCTTCCATTTTTTTTAGTAAACACAAACGGTATCTAAATAAAATTGTTCATTCAGAACAAATCTCTGACATTGCATCTGAATAGCCTTAAACAAATAACTAAAACCTTTGTCACAATGCTTAATATTATGTGCTGCTCTTGCTTTGGCACTCTGCTCCAAGGTGGATATCAACATGATTCCTCTAGACTTAATTTTAGAGTATATTCTGAAATGTATTCCTATTAATTATACTTGATGTGCTGTTCAGCCTGAAATCTAACCAGATCTTGTTGTCCTATTGCCCAGACAAAGTGACATCATCATTTTTTTTACATAAAGTGGTTCCATACTGTTCTAACGATTCCTTTAATCCTCTGTCATTCACAGACTTTGAATGTAATCAAGACATTTATAAATATTGTAATTGTCCACTTACGATGAACTCAATATCACACCAGAAAGGTGTTGGTTTGTTCTTCTGGGAAGAAAATCGAAACCAGAAGAGAAGTCACTTCAATGATACTCTTGACTTCTGCTCTGAACCATTATTGTTGCACTTGATTCCATAACAGCAAGTGTCTCACTCTGAAATTTGCCTCACTACATGAAACATTCACATAAGGGCTAAGTGGGCTAACATTATTCTAAATATAAGATAACGTGGCTTCAGTAATTGGAATATCTGTGCTATGTGAAGTTGTCCTGTGTCTGATTAGGGTGCTTCTTTTTCACTTATGATAGGAGCTTATGATTAAGCACTAGACAGACAGAGTGAACTGCAACAAGCCTTTCCACGATTTTCTGCTGTGACATAAGCCTTCCTTCAATAAATCATGTGGCACAAATGAAAATGGAATTGTAGTTGCTGCTGTCTCTTCCTTTGCCTTTTATCTGATCTTCCTTCACACAATAAAAGTCTCCTTAGACATATACCAGTTCATGACAAGATATTCCCTATAATTGCAACATGTCATAGAATTCATTATTAGACTCTTTAGATTACCCACAAGTGATTTGAAGTGGATACATGGACCTGTACTGTTTAGAATCACTGTAACAACATACCATTCCATGCTTACCACAACCATACAGTAGTTGACTTTACACTAGAATTTTTAGAATAGCCTGTCTAAGTAGATCTCACAACCCTAGGCTATACCATTTTACTCAGGAAGCTGGTAATGAGACAAGATTCTTACTTTACCAGTTTCTTGAGGAGAGGAGGAAAATCATAAGGAAGGAAAACTGTACAGGTGAGAATGTCAACCTGTAGCTGAATGTTAATACAGAACCTGTTTGTTTTTTTAAGGCAGCATATTTGCTGTACTTAGCACCATAGTCACATTTATACATTTAAATTTCCATTCTGCTACCATTTTGGTGTTTTGCATTCCAAAATATGACAACTTATTCCTTAACAAATACCAATGAACTGGGTTCATGATAAATATTCACGTAAACCACATGCTATAAAATTGATACTTCTTTCTTTGTTAATTATTGAGAACATGCCAGGAGGAATGTAACAATGCATGATAACCAGAGAGGCCATGTATTTTTTATATTTTTCTGACTTGTTATTTTGAGAAAACAAGTTGTTTTCGTGAGATAACAAGTAAGACAAATATAAAAATACAAGGCCTCTCTTGGCTTCTTTACTATCTTTATAATCTCTAATATAGTAAATAAACTTCTATCGGAAAGGGAACTAAGGGATGATATCAGTACCCACTGACCAAAAAGAGCTACTCCACATTAGAGAATCCCATCCATGCATGTGGGAGGATCATGCTTGCAGGCAGTGAACTGAGGAACACTTTGTTGGTAAATTATTTCTAACTTCTAACGTTTTTGCAATATTTTTTAAAGAGTTATTTATAAAATGCATAAAAATAGGGCAATGGTTTTAACCTAGTCTAATCCAATAATTAACGCATTGGTTAAAGTGTTAACGTATATCTGTCTCACTCCAAAATACATACTTCACTTGGCATCAATTTGTTGACTAGCATGAAAATTATCTAACAAATTAATTTAAAAAAATTCAAAACAAAATAAATATGACTTTTTATTTAAGAAGCATGCCACATTAAATAATGTAAAAAGATGTGAATTATCTGCTTTTCCTTAATAAAACAAAAATAAAACAACTACCCAAGTTAGAAGCACCATGCATCAATATGTACACTATGTTAAATTATTGCAGTTTGTTACCAATGTATGATTAGATTTAGAACGTCTTTCAGTATATTGCAATTATGATTAGAAATTGATATACGTAATTGATTTGTCATTAATGTCTCGAAGTGCTAAGAACACATTATGGAAATAAATGTATCACTTGTCCTTTATATATCATATAATGTGTTAACCCGCCCTCCCTCTACAATCCCAAGGCAGAGGTTTGATGTGTTAATTTTGTGCACATTGATTTTCTAGGGGTATTTGGAAGGTGGCTGGTTGCATTAAGCTTACATTGATTTGCCATATAATTAACTCCTCGTTATTTAAGCACTGGTGCTATAATTTGACTCTTATTAATGCAGTTCCTATTGGAACACTGTTTAGCCATTTTGCAGGATGGTAACAAGATAGTGATATCATTTTAATTAGATTCTATGCGAGAAATGAGCATTAGTGTGGTTGTGAAACGTTTAACACTTTGCTCACTAGTCGGTAATAATAAACATATCCTCACTAATAAAATATGTTCTTATTCTTTCTTTGTACCACACTTTATGCTGGGCTTTGACAAGGTTCTGCTGAGTTAAGGCAACAGAAAAAAATATAGATTAAAAGAAATAACCTCACCTTTTACAATAACATTTTAATATGTGAAAGAAGAAAAATCATAAATCAAGAAACCCTTTAGAGAGGATTTATATCTATAAAGTGGAGATTGGCATCCAGAGTGGTTCGTAGGTGGAAAAAACGCCATTAATAAAAAGTACAGTGATCAAAGAAATAGGCAGACATAGACCCCATTAATAAACAAGTTATGTTTAATCAAAAATAGCAAACTGTTTATTTGAAACTTGGCTGTATAGCAGGTACATACAAATAGCATACAATATCAAATTTAAACACCGATACCTGTTCAGAAATACCAACATATTACAAATATACTAATTTACCACTTGCTTTCATTGGATTCTCATTTGGTATTCTTTATCGTGCATTTGAAACATTTTAAACAGATTCCATAATATTACAAAATAATCAGAAATATATTTATGGATTATGGATTTAAAAAACATACATAACTTAAATGGGTCATACGCTATTTCTGAGTGTCAGTATGGAACTGCATGATATATTATATATACATGCAGCTTTCTAAAGGGCAAGGCAAATGTAAAATAATGTATAAATGTAGACATAATGTTGGCATACAATAAGCATTATTATATCAAGCAAAGAATCTCTGTACTACAATTGGTGTTCTCAGAGCCAATCATAACCCTCCCTAGGTGCTATATTGCAAGCAGGAAGTTTGAGCTACAAAGGTTGCTGTAGATTGTGAGAGAAGTAAGGAGGAGTTGTCACTTACAGTGCATTTGTAGAGAAGCATTGGTTAGCCCATGTTGCTGGGGAAAAGTGTGAAACCCTTAAGGACAGAGGCAATTGTCCATGTTTTGAACCAAAAATAAAACCTTGAGTTTGATATATAGGTGAATATAGGTATTTTCACTGTAATTTAAGGGTTTCTCTTCAAGTGCCTTCAAACATATTATATATTGTTTTTTAAAATACATAATTGGCTTTCATTTATTATCATATATGTATACTTAACACAACATTACATGTGATTACAATGTTAAAAATTTGAAAATATTGGGAATAAATTAATATTTTCACAATTTTGCTTGTAATAATTTTTACATATCCAGTGAAACTAATTAAAAAGAGCTCAAAATAGCTTAGTATCTCAGTACTGATTGTTAAATGCCCAATATGCCTAGAAGCTAAATTAGTTTTTGATACTTAATGCTAACCCCATACCCAGCCCCACACTAATGCTATACCAACCATACCCTTTTTCTAATGCTCACTCTAACTCTAGCCATATGCATAACCTAATTTTACCTTAACCCTACTCTAACTCTAACCATAAAACAGTATTGACCAAACCCAGCATTAACCCATATCTTACCTTAACCCTACAGTAAACCTAACCCTACAGATAACCCTAACCATAAACATAACCCTAATCTAACACTAATTATAATCCTACCTTACTCTTATCCCTAATTTATACCCTAGCCCTACCTTAATGCTAAAATTGAGCCTAACCGCAACCCCACCACAAACCGAACTGAACCCACTGTTAATATCAGGTCTGATAGTGAAGAAAAGTTTTTCTATTTAGCACAGTAGATAGTGGTATGTGATCGCCACTTACTTGTAATTATGAATGAAGCCTGGTCTCCTGTGGACAGGCTGGGAGACCCTGCCAAGGTCTATTCAGATTCTGGGCGATTGCTCAGCCACAGTTTTATGATTGGAGTTAAAGGGCTCTGTGCTGCACTGACTTCAAGATCTGCACAGAGCTCATCGGTCATTATGGGGCCCATGAAAATGGACCCAGATGACTAACAGGAGCCACAGGTATCCATTAAAATCTGAATATTAGTGGTATGAACAGTGGTATGCATTACCAGCCCTATGTATTAAAGGGAAAATATACATGTTGTGTTAGAAATTTAAAGATACATGTGACAAACTCCCCTTTCCAAGTGAGTTTGCCATGAGCTCCTGGAGAAGCCTGCTTGCCAGTCTCCTGCTCACAGACTATGAGCCCTGTAATATACACTGAAAAAGTCTCAGTTCGTGTATTTGTACTATAGGGTTCGGGAACCGAACAGCCGCACGAACCAGAGACCACCCTGGAGCTTGTTAAGCCTAATTGCTACTTTGTAGCAATTTCCATTGCAGTGTTCTAAGTGTTCGTCTGGGTGGCCGCATTTCCTATGGACGACCACCAGGTGGCAGCCATCTTGTTTGCATGAAAACAGGCAGCGGTATTTCGTTGTCGAGTTCATGGAACTATTTTCGGACACTGAAACTCCTGAACACCACTGGACTTCCATGATCGCCTGTTTTCAATGTTATAACACTAAGGAAGACACTGTTCGGTGGAAACGTTCCCACGAACAAGGGGAACATGCTCCAGGGTAAGACTCTTTAATATGTTCAATAGTTTGTTCAGTTTTTAAACTACCGAATTAGACCGACCGCAAGCCCTGATTCTCTGGAACTGTTTTGGGCATGGGACCATGTACACGGCCGGTCAAATTATGACTTCCAGGAAATTCCCGAACCCCTGAACCGATCTGGGTGATTTTTGGATATGTTGGGCTATCAGGGGATGTAACTTTTGTGGGGTTTTGTAAACATTTATGTTTTCTGTGCGTGGAGATAATTGAGTTTAATACAGTGCCTGACTCAATTATCTCCCAGGCACAGAGGAGGCAGGGCCGGCCTTAGGGGTGTGCCGACACCGTTCACACATGGCCAGCTGGAATTTAAATAAAATAAAAAAAATAAAAAAATTGCGGTGGGGCCGAGCTTACCGTGCGGCGGGGCAGAGCTAAAAGCACCAGATGACTGCTGCAGGGAAGCAGGAAGGAGTCCCTGCTTCCCCACCAAATAGTCTCCAGGAGCTGCACTGCCTCCACAATGAACTCCACAGGTAACTGTGTGATTGTCAGTGTGAGTGTGACTGTCTGCCTGTGTGTCTGTGTGTGTGTGTGTGTGTGACTGTCTGCCTGTGTGTGTGTGTGTGTATGTCTGTCTGCCTGTGTGTGTGTGTGTGTGTGTGTATGTCTGACTGCCTGTGTGTGTGTGTGTGTGTATGACTGCCTGTGTGTGTGTGTCTGTGTGTATGACTGCCTCTGTGTGTGTGTCTGTGTGTATGACTGCCTGTGTGTGTGTGTGTCTGTGTGTATGACTGTCTGCCCGTCTATCTGTGTGTATGACTGTCTGCCTATGTGTGTGTGTATGACTGTGTGTCTGTGTATATGACTGTCTGCCTTTGTGTGTGTGTGTGTGTGTTTGTGTGTGTATGACTGCCTGTGTGTGTGTTTCTGTGTGTATGACTGTCTGCCTGTGTGTGTGTATGACTGCCTGTGTGTGTGTCTGTGTGCATGACTGTCTGCCCGTATGTGTGTCTGTGTATGCCTGTCTGCCTGTGTGTGTGTGTGACGGTTTGCCTATGTGTGTGACTTTCTGCCTGTGTGTATATGACTGTCTGCCTGTGTATGTGTGTCTGTCTGCCTGCGTGTGTGTGTGTCTGTGTGTGACTGTCTGCCTAGGTGTATGACTGTCTGCCTATGTGTGTGTGTGTGTGTAACTGTCTGCCTGTGTGTGTTTGTTTGGCTGTCTGCCTGTGTGTGTGTGTGACTGCCTGTGCCTGTGTGTGTGGTTGTCTTCATGTGTGTGTATGGCCATCTGACTCTGTTTGTGTATGTGTAGCTGTCTGCCTGTGTGTATGTGTGTGTGTGTGGCTGTCTGCATGTAAATATGTGTGTGTAAGACTGTATGTGTGGCTGTGTGTGTGTGTGTGTGTGTGTGTGTAAAACTGTATGTGTGGCTGCCTGTGTGTGTGTGTGGCTGTCTGCCTGTGATTGTGTGTGAGTAGGTTTATCTACCTGTAACTGTATGTGTGTTACTGCCTGTACCTGTGTGTTTCTGCCTGATCCTGTGAATGTGACTATCTGCATGTGGTGGTTTTGACAGTGTATATGTATAACTGTGTGCATCTGACTGTGCACATAACTCTGCAAAAATATACACTTGCATTCACACACAGGCCTAAATGCATGTTTTTATCTGAATTAAATAACCATCACACACAGCCAATAAACCCAGAACAAATATCACATACAACCAATACACGCATATCACACACTGTTAATACACCCATTACAAATATCACACACAGCCAACACAAAACATACATATCACACACAGTCATCACACCTACTATCACAGACAACACAAACATTACATCATACATGGATGACGGGGAGGGGGGGCGCTGTGAAGATTTTTTGCACAGGGCGCCTAAAGGCCTAAGGCCGGCCCTGAGAGGAGGGATTATCTTGTTTTATGTAGGAGTGTCCTGGAACTGAGAGCCAATGTAATTGTGTGTATGTTTTTACTGTAGTCTACTCTCAGGTCCAGGGGGAGTGCCCCTTGCATAGGGACCTGCATATAAGGCCAGTTGTGGCTGCCATTACAGAGATTCGTTTTACCCATCATGAAATCTAGGCTCATATTTGGGGGATTGGAGAGCTATATTCACTCTGGGGATTGCTATAATCACTATACTCCATTGGCTTACAATGATTGCTCTTGGAAGAGCAGCCTGCTTTGCTCTGTACCCTTGTCTTGTGTCCAGGGTGGGTGGAGAACAGCGAGACCCTAACTAAGCTGCGGTGATTTGTGGGGTTTGGAGTGGTTATGGTGTCTGGTGCGGTGCTTATGGTACTTAAGGATTACTAGGAAGCAGCGATTGGAGGAGGTACCCAGTCGGGGTACCAGGTGGTCTGTCACAATACATTTTAAAGATACTTTTAAAGATACATCTAATTTTATTCTCTGCATGTGAGTGACACTTAACATTGAAGGAGATGCACAGAATACTGGGGTCTACTAACTTTTTTTTGCAGTGAGAGACATATTTTGGTATGGAATTGAAAGAACTCCTATCTAGACATTGGGCAGGCCACAACTATTGTGCCTTAGATTAAGTAGATCCCTAGCCCACTCCTCCATTTAAATTCTTGGTTGTTTCATTTTTTAATAACTGTGATTACATTGACACATAATATTAAATGTATGCTTACTAATGCAAGGAGCCTATATAACAAAATGGGGGAACTAGAGGCATTAGCATACACTAAACAATATGATATAATAGGCATAACTGAAACATGGTGGGATGAGACACATGACTGGGCAGCTAACTTAAATGGATACATGTTATTTAGGAAGGATAGGAAATACAAGAAGGGTGGTGGGGTATGTTTGTATGCCAACCATGATTTAAAGCCAAATGTTAAGCAAATGGAATGCGAGGAGGATAATGTGGAAGCTTTATGGGTAAATATCTGCTTGGGGGAAAAGAAGGGAAACCAACTATTGGTTGGAATATGTTATAAACCACCTAATGTTAATATTGATGAGGAACAACAGCTGTTTGAGCAAATTGAGAAAGCTGCAAATCTGGGTAACACTTTAATTATTGGAGATTTTAATTACCCAGATATAAAATTGGGACAGAGGGACTAGTACCTCAGCAAAGGGAATTAGGTTTTTAAATGACACCTACATGTCACAACTTGTACAAGCACCAACTAGAATGGACACTTGTCTGGACCTGGTTTTAACAAACAACGTTGATCTTTTGACCAACATTCAAGTAGGTGAGCACTTGGGAAATAGTGATCACAATATAGTGTCCTTTGAAATAAACTCAAAAAAACAAAAGCACATGGGGAATACTAAAACATATAATTTTAAAAAGGCCAATTTCAATAAGTTAAGGGAAGCTTTACAATATATTGACTGGCATAAACTCTTTAGTGAAAAGAACACTGAGGATAAATGGATCATCTTCCAACAAATATTAAAAAGTTAAATTTCTCAGTATGTACCGTTGGGAAATAAATATAAAAGAAACAAATTAAAACCAATGTGGCTTAGTAGAGAAGTAAAACAAGAGATTACAACTAAGAAAAGGGCATTTAAAGCATTTAAATCGGACAAATCAGATGCATCTTATAAAAGATATAAGGAAGCAAATAATGCATGCAAAAAGGCAATTAGACTTGCTAAACTTCAAAATGAAATAATAACTCTGTAGTAAAGTGAGAGAATTCTACAGAAATACATCCAGTATTTACACTGGGCATTCTGCATTGTGGTATTAATTTTTCATTCTGATTAAGTTGTTATGGTTCCCCGACAGACCCTTCAGACCCTTTAAGGCAGACTTGACACTATAATTGTGAGAGTGAGAAAATTAGATTCAGCTAAATCTTTTGTTCCTGAAATTTTTTTTTCTTTGGAAGTCAAAATTTCAGCTACATGTCGGTTCAACTTGGCAGAATATTGGTACTAAAAAAAATCTGATTCTGGAAAATTATGAGATGAACCAAAAGAAAGTGAAAATTACTTTTATATATGTATATTGTGCAGTACATTATTAGGAGCAGTTTCCTGCCATTTGGCTTACAGATCAAGAGAGAAAAAGTAACCAACAAAGGGGAAAACAAAGATGAAAAAAAAAACTATATTCATATATGATATATTTATTAAATATATAAATTCTGATTTTTTCAATTTTTTTTACTGCTCTAGCATTTTCCCCTCTGTTGGTCACTTCTCAACATATAGTGACTGCCCCTTAGCCATTAATCATATTTTTCCCTTAAAATTATGCTGTGGGATGAGTTCAGAACCACAAATGAAAACGAACATGCTTGGCTCTGAGTTCGGGGATTTGATCGGTCCAAATTTGGATAAGTTGCAGTTTGGACCGAAACAAATCTCCAAGTCTAGTTTCCACCTATTCAAAATAGATTTGTTAAATACCCATGTCCCTATACTCAGTTGTTGCTATGTTGATGGATTAGCCCTTCTACACCTATGACATAATTGCAACAACAATAGAAAATTGAAAGTAGGTAATTTAGTTATTTTATCTATTCCGACTTGATTTATTTATGTTATATTTTTCCAATCTCTTTGATTGCCATGATTTTAGTAAAAAATATTTTAAGGGTCCTTACAAAAAAAATAAATCAATGAACCCACTGCATTTGAGCCCTTTTTAAAGGGTTCTAAGCACCAAAACAACATTAATGAAATTCTATCAACATTAGAAGTTAAATCACCTCTAGCAAATGGGAAATACCCACAACCACAGTATCACAGTATGTCCAATCAAAAATCTCTTCTTGACCTTTTGTGTAATGTGTGTTAGCCATGTCTGAAACATGATATAGTTCCCTTAATAAATAATACTCATTATACTAGGTTAGTACATTTAAATTTAATTCACATTGCATTTTGATTAATTTAAAGGACCACTATAGGCACCCAGACCACTTCAGCTTAATCAAGTGGTCTGGGTGCCAGGTCCAGCTAGGATCAACCCTTTGTTCTATAAACATAGCAGTTTCAGAAAAAAATGCTATGTTTACATTAGGGTTAATCCAGCCTCTAGTGGCTGTCTCATTGACAGCTGCTAGATTCGCTTCCGCGCTTCTCACTGTAATTTTCACAGTGAGAAGACGCCAGCGTCCATAGGTGTCAGGATTACTGTTTGATCCAGCACGTAGAACTGTACAGCACAGAAGACAAATAAGTAACGTATTACCGGTCCTTAGAATGGCCGGATTTAACGTACAAAGAATAGTCAAAAATACTAGCCGAGGTCAGGGAACACAGAAAGGGACACAGCGATGAGGAAAGCCAGGAGTCAGGATACCAGAATATAGAGAAGTCAATAAACAAAGCCAAAGTCAAAAACCAGGTAGAAAACTATAAACAGGAACGCGCTCTCAGACAACCACAAGGGAAACCACGACAGGGCACTGAGCAGGCTGAGAACTGGGCCTAAATACCCCTCCTTTAGTTCTGATAGGCTGTAACCGGCCTTTGACCCCAAAGTCAGTTACCAGGTTTAATTTGCATAATTGCTGCTCAGCATTAACCCTTCTGTGGATTAGGTTGCTGCTCGGCACAACTTTTCCTGTGTGGACAGTAAATGTCATTAATCACTTTTCTCTAAGCGGATGAATACATGACACCAGGTTTCATTTGCACAATTACTGCTCAGCATTAACCCTTCTGTGGATTAGGTTGCTGCTCGGCACAACTTTTCCTGTGTGGACAGTAAATGTCATTAACCACATTTCTATAAGCGGATGAATATGTGACATTACCCCCCACCTGAAGAACGCCCACCGGGCGGACAGGACCAGGCTTGAGAGGAAATTTAGTGTGAAAAGCATGGATCTTACGGCCCGCATGCAGGTCAGGAGCCGAAACCCAAGAACGATCAGCAGGACCGTAACCTTTCCAAACAACCAAGTACTGTAAAGTGCCCCGAGAAAACCTAGAATCCACGATAGAAGATACCTCATACTCTTCCTGACCACCCACCACCACCGGAGGGGGAGGAACACAAGGAACAGTATATCTATTGCAGACAAGAGGTTTGAGTAAGGACACATGAAAAGTGTTGGGAATCCCTAAAGATGCAGGAAGAGCCAGAGAGTAAGACACTGGATTGATCCTACGAAGCACTCTATAGGGACCAAGGAATCTGGGGGCAAACTTCATGCTAGGGACCTTAAGCTTGATGTTGCGAGATGACAACCAAACCCGGTCCCCCACTTGGTACACCGGGTTGGCACTCCTACGCTTATCAGCAAAATGTTTGAAGCGTTCAGCAGCAGCCCCTAGAGCAGTTTGAACCTTAACCCAGGTATCCCGAATGGAGGCCAGACGCTCATCCAGAGCAGGAATGGCAGTATCAGAAAATACCGCAGGGAGAACCGTAGGATGCCTACCATTATTGACAAAAAATGGACTGTGCCCAGAGGAGTCATGAACAGCATTGTTTCTAGCGAACTCGGCCCACGGGAGTAGTTCGGACCAATTGTCTTGTGTGCTATTAATAAAACAACGCAAATAAACTTCTAATGACTGGTTAGCCCTCTCAGCTGTACCATTGGTCTGTGGATGGTAGGAGGAGGAGAAGGAGAGATCAATCCCCAATTGTTTACTGAACGCCCTCCAGAACCTGGACACAAACTGAGAGCCCCTATCAGACACAATATTGTGGGGGATGCCATGCAAACGGACAATTTCACGTATGAAAATTAGGACCAAATCTTGCGAAGATGGCAACTTCTTGAGAGGAATGAAGTGAGCCATCTTAGAAAATCGGTCTACAACCATGAGAATAGTAGTGAACCCAGCAGAGCTAGGAAGCTCAACAATAAAGTCCATGGATAGGTGGGACCATGGAATCTCAGGAACAGGAAGAGGCTGCAACAGGCCACAAGGAAGTGCATGAGTCACCTTAGAAACTGCACACACAGAACATGCCTGCACATACTCCTTTACATCTTTCCTGAGTGAATCCCACCAAAATGATCTAGTGATCGCGGCAGTGGACTTATTGATGCCCGGGTGTCCAGCAGTTATATTGTCATGGAACACTTTCATGATATTAACCCTTTCACATAGGGGAACGAACAGTTTATCACACGGTTTACCACTGGGCGCCTGAGGCTGGGCCTCCAGTATAGTGCCAAGCAGTGGAGAAGACAGTGAGAGGACAGTAGTAGCAATAATACACTCTGCTGGAATAATAGGAGATGTCATCTGTTCCGGAGCTGACTCATTATCAAATTGCCTGGACAAGGCATCAGCCTTGGTATTTTTAGAACCAGGTCTATAAGTAATGAGAAAGTTAAAACGTGAAAGGAACAGTGACCATCTAGCCTGTCTGGAAGACAAACGTTTGGCATCCCCTATATATGCCAGATTTTTGTGGTCGGTTATGATCAACAGGGGGTCCTTGGAACCCTCCAAAAGATGTCGCCACTCCTTGAGGGCAAGAATAATGGCCAACAGTTCTCTATTGCCAATATCATAGTTGCGCTCAGCAGGAGACATCTTTCTGGAGAAGTAGCCACAAGGATGCAATGGTGTTCCCTGGCTTTCTCTCTGAGAGAGAACAGCCCCTACCCCTGTCTCGGATGCATCAACCTCCAATATAAAAGGTTTACTGGTGTCAGGATGTTTTAGTATGTCCGCAGAGGCAAATCTTTGTTTAAGAGTCTCAAAAGCATTCACAGCCTCTTTGGACCATACCGTGCTACTAACCCCTTTGCGAGTCATATTTGTGATTGGGGCTATTACAGAAGAAAATCCCTTGATGAATCTTCTGTAATAGTTGGCAAAACCAATAAACCTTTGAATGGCTTTTAAACCAGAGGGTAATGGCCAGTGTAGTACAGCCTCTAGTTTTTTAGGATCCATTTGAAATCCCGATGCAGAGATGTTGTAACCCAAAAAGTGGACTTCAGGCTGGTCAAATATGCACTTTTCTAATTTACAATAAAGTTTATTTTTCAACAACGTCTGCAGAACCTGTTTCACATGGGAGTGGTGAGTTTGAAGATCAGGGGAATACACCAAAATATCGTCCAAATAAACCAAGACAAATGAGTAAATGAATTCCCTGTCGTAATGTCAGGATTACTGTTTGATCCAGCACGTAGAACTGTACAGCACAGATGACAAATAAGTAACGTATTACCGGTCCTTAGAATGGCCAGATTTAACGTACAAAGAATAGTCAAAAATACTAGCCGAGGTCAGGGAACACAGAAAGGGACACAGCGATGAGGAAAGCCAGGAGTCAGGATACCAGAATATAGAGAAGTCAATAAACAAAGCCAAAGTCAAAAACCAGGTAGAAAACTATAAACAGGAACGCGCTCTCAGACAACCACAAGGGAAACCACGACAGGGCACTGAGCAGGCTGAGAACTGGGCCTAAATACCCCTCCTTTAGTTCTGATAGGCTGTAACCGGCCTTTGACCCCAAAGTCAGTTACCAGGTTTAATTTGCATAATTGCTGCTCAGCATTAACCCTTCTGTGGATTAGGTTGCTGCTCGGCACAACTTTTCATGTGTGGACAGTAAATGTCATTAATCACTTTTCTCTAAGCGGATGAATACATGACACCAGGTTTCATTTGCACAATTACTGCTCAGCATTAACCCTTCTGTGGATTAGGTTGCTGCTTGGCACAACTTTTCCTGTGTGGACAGTAAATGTCATTAACCACATTTCTATAAGCGGATGAATATGTGACAATAGGAAAGCATTGAGAATGCTTTCCTATGGACTGGCTGAATACGTGCGTGGTTCCTGCCGCGCATGCAGCCGATGATGTCGCTATGGAGGAGGAGAGGAGGAGGAGAGTCCCCCGCCCGGGGCTGGAGAAAGGGGTAAGTTTAACCCTTTCCTCTCCCTAGAGCTCGGCGGGAGGGGGGCCCTGAGGGTGGGGGCACCCTCAAGGCACTATAGTGCCAGGAAAACGAGTATGTTTTCCTGGCACTATAGTGGTCCTTTAAAGGAACACTATAGCGTTAGGAATACATATTTACATACATACTACGTATACATACATACTATGTATGACTGTAGAGCCCCTTCACCATTTAGGTGACTAGGGCCCTATTCTGCTGTGAATAAATGGTTAATTAACCATTTATTTGCTTACCTTAATCCAGCGCCAGGCTCCCTCGGCACTGGTGAACTCTCTTCCTCCATCAACGTCAGCTTCCGAGTGGAGCCGAATGCGCATGCACGGCCAGAGGCGCGTACACTTTCAAACCCGCCCATAGGAAAACATTGCTCAATGCTTTCCTATGGGAATCTTTTTTGACACCGGACTCCGTGAGGACGTCCAGCATCAAATAAGTGCGATTTACTCCATGTAAATCGCGGAAGCGGTCTCTAGCAGCTGTCAGGGAGACCGCCACCAGCTGAAAACTGCTATGTTTTCAGCTGCAGGGTTAAAACTAGGTGGACCTGGCTCACAGATCACTTCATTGAGCTGAAGTGGTCTGGGTGCCTGTAGTGGTCCTTTAAGTTGAGATTCAATAAATTCTTCACAGTAATATGTGATTAATGATGCAATGCAGTGTTCCAAAATGGATATAAAAATCTGTTCTTATGCATTTCATTGTTATCCTTTTGTTCAATAACCAGTGGATTTGGTAATAGTCTTACATGCAAGTAAAAGGTTCAATAAGCTTAGGGAGTTTAGTTAGTATTTTAACAGACCAGTCCATGTTTTGAATTATTCACTTACTGATCTACAGAGGATTAGTTTAAAATCCTGCTTAATAGCAAATTGTTGACACACTCTGTATCCTCTGAGCCATTTAAATCCATTTAATTGTGCGGCTATAGAAAATCGAAGAAGCTGCTTTTTTAATGTATAAGAAACAGGGCTGAACAAAGGACTGACATTGGGCTACCCCCTCTGCCCCCCTTTAAAAAAAGAAAATGGAGCAGGGGTTCCTAGGAATCACAAGCAACCAGGGAAAGGACCACGTAGAAGCAGAGAATTTCTCAAGTTTGGCTATTTTGACCTTAACTTGAATTCAATTTGAACTCACTTTCACTTATCACTTAAATGAAAAAACAAGATGGAGCAGCATTTTTTTTTTCTGATGGTACACATACTTTTATGAAAAATTCAAGGACTTTGTGGCAGAAATTATACAAGTTATTTTAAACATATACAGAGTCAGACCTAATTCTATAAACAATTACAAAGTGTGCTAGCACACAATCAGATTATAGGTGCTGGTATCTTAGCCACCCCCTCAGGCCAAAAAATGAAATATCCAAAATACAAAAATTGATACCGCACTCAACATGAAGAAAATATAAAGATATATTAGCAGAACATTGCCATATACCTGGATACAACTCCAATTTCTATATTACGAGAGTGAAGATATATAAACTTAAAGTGACAAGTGCCATAAAAGTACCAAGTGCTTAATATGTGCTTAGAGTGCTAATATTAATAAAATACACTATCAAAATCTGTATACAGCAAGATCAATAACAAGATAGTAAGTGATTATTCCTACGGAAATCTCATCCAGTATACAGTAATTCCTGCAGGGAAATAATCTCATTTGTAGAGTTGCTTTGTGTAAAGCTCATTCCATCTGGAAAAAGTCATTCAACAAGGAATTAATTTCGTCAGTGATCATATTTGATGTAACATGCATTGGTTGTACTGTACACTATAGTAAAAAATGTTTGTAGCCCAAGAATCCCATGTAGCCAGTGGCGTACATACTGGGGTTACAGGGGATGCGGCTGCAACCGGGCCCGGCCCACCAGTGGGCCCGGCCGCCCTGCCCCGGTATGTATGCCTCTGTGGCCAGCCTCTTCCCCTGGGGGGCCCAGGAGCCGGCCACCACAGGGCCCCCCGAGGTTGGCCCTGCTGTCACCGGGCGGCCGGTCCTGCGGGTGCGCGAGGGACGTCATCTTCCAACTCCGGCATCAGTCCCTTCTGCCGGGTGACCGGCCACCCAGGAGCCCAGCAGCACCACTGGACCCCAGGGAATCCCCTCAGCACTCCAAAAGGTAAGGAGGCTGGGGGATTCAATTTTTAAAAAAAACATGCGTGTGTGTTAGTGTGTTAGTGTTAGTGGGTCATGTGTACGCCACTGCATGTAGCAAAAAGATGAGAACAAGCAGGGAATATCTACCCATACTGCAAAAAAAAAAAATGTGTATACATCCAAATTATTTTATGTGCACAGGAGATAGATATATATATATAGATATATATCTATATATATATATATATATATATAGATATATATCTATATATATAGATATATATATATATATATCTATATATATATATCTATATATATATAGATATATATAAAAAAATGACAGCTTTGGCAGAATTAGCTTGTTCATATGAAATAGCAACCTTTTATTTGTTCAAGAGAATAAATAAAATAACAGTTTTCTGCCTTACCCCACCAAACATGCAAAGACACTCTGCTTTGTAAGTTTCTCACAAAAAATATTCTTACATATGGATTAAGTTGGGGTTGGTTAATACATTTTTGGGACCAATGTCTGGAGTTGATAGACAATTCTTGGGTACCAGAAGCTCGTATTGTGAAAGTTCAAGCAATCTTTCTAGTGAGAGCTAACTACTACAGCATTCAGTGGTAGTGTGCCCATTACTGTACCTTTTTAGTGCTGCAGCAGACATTACAATGTGCCCTTTTCAGTGCAGCAGACATATTATAATATCTGTACCATATTAGTGTTGTACCAGAGAGTGTAATGTGACAAATCCAGCACAATTTCAGTTCAGAAGACATTGGCAATGAGATCATTTCAGTCCCATTTCAGTACTGCAGTAGAGAATGACAGTGCACCCATTTCAGTACCATTTCAGTGCAGCAGACAATGTGCCAATATTTGTACTATTTCAGTACTGCAGCAGACAGTGCAACATGCCTATTTCATCAACATTTCAGTTTAACATAGGGTGGGAAAGTGCTTAGTTTAGTACCAACTTAGGGCAGCATCAGACAGTGACAAATTGCCCATTCAATACCAATGTGCCGATTTTTTGTATAATTCAGCACTAGAAACTTCCTGGTGTTAAGTTTTTGTTGACATTTTATAATGCTAAGCTACTATTTATTGTATGTAATTTGTGGTTTGTTTCAAAGCCATTGCAGGTTATATTTTTTTGTGTTAATGAAATAAATGTGTCCTTTCGTCCTCTGAGAAATTATCCTAAACCGTGATAAGTTTGGTTTTATTTAGTCAGGTTGTAGTATAATTTGTGCATGGTTGAAACTTTTGATAGATTGGGTTATTCACTAAAGAGAGAATGGTCAGGAATTCAAAGTGATTTCAAAATGAATTTAAAATATTTTTGGCCACAATAGCCAACTTAGAAACTAATTCTTCCTTACACATTTTTATTTTTCAGTTTAGAAATTTTCTTTTAAACCATACTTACTGTTATTTTTCTTTCCTGCCTATTATTCATAGCAACATCACTTATGGGTAGCTCCACTACCAGATAAATTGGAACAGGAAATTCAAATCTAATTAAGAGACTGCATGCAAAACAAGTACCTCCTCCTTCTATACTGCAGTCTGTTGTAAAGTCAAAGAAATGAAAGGAGGGAGACTAATGAATGATAGCCAGGAAAATAAAATTAGGTAAGTTTTTAAGTAAGTATTACTTTTATCAAGAGAACACTATATTTTGTTTTCTTTTCTTAGTATATACCCTCATCAGTGAACGCCTTTCAAAGCCTATCTGACCGTGGACATGCAACATCCTTATAGAGGCTACTCCTATATACATACATCTTCTATAAGATTTCGGCCCAAGAAATTCCTCGTCATAAAATCAAAACTACAAGTATATCCACAGGTGGGGTTGTACCTCCCAGGTGCACACATTTAGAGCTGGATAAAAGCTCCAAAAAGCTGTAAGTGTATCTCTCTTATCTACATCATCAACAATAATGACATACTACACTATATTCTTGTCTTTCATAGCGATTAGTTTGGATCTAAACTATCTCTACATTCCCCTGGCTGTCAATCAGAAAGCCGGTCCTGTTACTTGCTGGTTGTTTAGCTGAATGGAGCTAAATCCAAGAGTCAGACAAATGCCCAGAGCACCTGCCTTGCAAAGACTTCTCATTGAGCTGCATTGAAGTCTGTGATTGGACAGCCAAAGAAAGACTGGGGAAGGATGGGGAAGAATGGGATGACTTGCAAATGCAAGAGATCTGCAGCTTTTGCAAGCTGGTTTTAGATATACCCCAGTTGAGGAAAATGCACAATTAAATGCATGCATGCATGCTTCCGTTAGGGGTATGTACTAAACAATGATATTTTTAAATTTATCTGGGCAGTGGAGTGACCCTTTAAGCACTAGTTAGTTGTCATTACAGTCTATGTCACTAGAGTTCCAGCATAAATAAACCCCTTCATGACAAGGCAGCCACTTACTGTAACATTACTGATGTCATCTGTCACAAAAAGAGTTAAAAGCAAGTGAAAATGTGATTTAAACAAGAAGGAATTGTTTTTTATTATGAATAAAATCATGGATGTATAGAAGGGCCCCTTGCCCCAGGGCACCACCTTGTCCACCCACATAGATTACTTGAGTGAAAGTGATGTATACATTTTAGCAGCAGTGGGAGAGAGGTTACAATTTTCACTGCCCACTTGTTCTCTTTGTAGAATAAGTTTTTATTTTCTTCTGCACAGTTGTAAATGTCTGGTTTCAAATTAGTTTTTTGAAACATCAGCTTTAATTGCTTTTATTTTAATTGAATTGCCCATTGGTTATCATAGCAGTCTCGGCTATGGAAGGATTATAATGTGAAACACTTTGCAGTGTCATTATTTGCAAGTGGCAATGCTCTCTGAATAAGATGAACACTCCACAGGCAGAATACACAGAATACATTTTGCAGGGATCCACAAGGAGAAGCAAACCATTAACAAAATAATAAAATTTTCTTTTTTTTCTACTGTGTTTTATTAACCCCTGTTGTTTTTGTGAAAGCTTCAATTTAAAATGTATTAAGTAGACTGTCAGTTTTGATCAATGCATTTATAGCTGCCTATTACATTAACCTAAGGTGGTTGAATTATAGTTTTTTGTTTTTTTAAAAGGACATATTACGGACAAAAAAGAATACTGCAAATTGCTTGTGGCATTAAATAACAGAGCAACGATTGATAAGATTAAGAATGCTAGCTGTTGACTGGCAGTGCATTTTGGGAGTAAGAGTCCAAAAGTACTGCAGTGCCAAAAAGTTGCCAATCACTAATATAGAGAGCAAATTCTGTTTAAGTTTCAACGTAGGGTTACATATTATTCAAACAAAAAATTGTTTTAAAAAAATGTAATAAAAAACATTAAACAGAGTATGATTTATTTTACTATACAAGAAGAAGTATTAGGCCATTCTTAACTGACAAACATTTTCTAGCATTTTAAATGAACACTCTAGCATTAAAACAGAACTAATGTAGAGAGGGCCCTGGTGCAAGAATATTTTTGCAAGAGTGGAAAAAAGATAAATCCCCATCTGTCATACAACTCCCACAATGCTATGCCAGCTGGGATCTATAATTTGGCCATTCTTGAAGGGTTGTACTTGTGAGCAGTGTTTTTGCATTTAAATGTAAGCATGTTTTTGTATACAGCAGTGGCGTTTCTAGGATTCATTTTTAGGGGGGGCACATGATGGGCCAGGGACAAAAGTAGAGGGGCACATTTAACCCCACCCTCTCCGCAGTTTTACCCCGCCTCAGACACATTGTGTTTTTTTTTTTTTAATAATCCCTGGTGGAGGAGTCATTATTTTCCACCAGGGATTATTAAAAAACAAACACATTGCCCTTGATACAGTGCCATAGTTGCCAACATTTGAAAAAAATTTCCAAGGACATTTTGCAGCACAGCTATCAATTACTGTCTGTGTATAATATCCCTGGACAGTCAGTGCTCTCTGTATAATACAGGGTTGTGTGTATAATAAATTGGGACAGTCAGTGCTCCCTGTATAGGGCTGCTCTATGTATAATACAGGTCTGTTTGTGTATAATATCCCAAGACAGAGAGCAGCACTATACAGGGAGCACTGACTGTCCCGGGATATTATACAGACACAGGTTTGTACTATACAGAGAGCAGCACTATACAGGAAGCACTGACTATCCTGGGATATTATATACACACAGATCTGTATTATACAGATAGCTGAGCATATACCCCATGTCCAAATCTCTAGACTACTAGTACCTGTCAACAGCAGCTCCCAGACGCGTGTAACAGGGCTAAAGTGTGCGGCAGCTCACACAGATGATTCAGCGGTAAAGTGCACTCGCTGGCAGAGCCAAACTGGGAATCCCTGGAAATCCAAAGCAGCAAAACAATGATGCCATTCCTACAAGTCAATACTATATATATATATATATATATATATATTACAGTAAGTAAGCACACAAGCTCACTGACATGATAGACAAAACTCTCTGACTCACACACAAGCTTACTACAGACAAACTCACTTGTATAAACAGAAGGCTCACTACAAAGAAGTTCAGGGGGACACACAAGCTCACTAAAGACAAGCTCACTGACACACACATGCTCACTAAATAGAAGCTCACTGACACGAACAAGCAGTACCATTTTAACAGCGTTAAGGGCCCCCAGGCAAAGCAGTGCACTTGGGCCCTTCCTACACAATAACTCACAGGAATTGTAGTTATTGATAGAATGCTGAGTCCATACACACATATAGATACATACACAGACTGCTGAGTCCATACACACACACACACACACACACAGACTGCTGAGTCCACACACACACACACAGACTGCTGAGTCCATACACACACAGACTGCAGAGGCCACACACACACAGGCACAGACTGCTGAGTCCATACACACAGGCTGCTGAGTCCATACACACACACACACACACACACACACACAGCTGAGACCATACACACACAGACTGCTGAGTCCATACACACACACACACACACAGACTGCTGAGTTCATACACACACAGACACAGACTGCTGAGTCCATACACAGACACAGACTGCTGAGTCCATACACACACAGACACAGACTGCTAAGTCCATACACACACAGATTGCTGAGTCCATACACACACACAGACTGCTGAGTCCATACACACACAGACACAGACTGCTGAGTCCATACACACACACACAAAGACTGCTGAGTCCATACACACACACAGACTGCTGAGTCATACACACACAGACACAGACTGCTGAGTCCATACACACACACACAAAGACTGCTGAGTCCATACACACACACAGACTGCTGAGTCATACACACACAGAGACTGCTGAGTCATACACACACACACACACAGACTGCTGAGTCCATACACACACAGACTGCTGAGTCCATACACACACACACACACTGCTGAGTCCATACACACACAGACTGCTGAGTCCATACACACACACACACACACAGAATGCTGAGTCCATACACACACAGACTGCTGAGTCCATACACACACACATACACACACACAGACAGACAGCTGAGTCCATACACACACACAGACAGCTGAGACCATACACACACACACTGATGAGTCCATACTCACACAGAGACTGCTGAGTCCATACACACACAGACTGCTGAGTCCACACACACACAGACTGCTGAGTCCATACACACACAGACTGCTGAGTCAATATACATACAGAAAGCTGAGTCCATACACACATAGACACAGACTGCTGAGTCCATACGCACACACACAAAGACTGCTGAGTCCATACACACACAGAAAGCTGAGTATATGCAGACACAGACTGCTGAGTCAATACACACACACACATACAGACTGCTGAGTCCATACACACACAGACTGCTGAGTCCATACACACACACAGACTGCTGAGTCCACACTCACACACACACACACACACACACACACACAGACTGATAAGTCCATACACACACACACACTGCTGAGTCCATACTGCTGAGTCCACACACACACAGACTGCTGAGTCCATACACACACAGACTGCTGAGTCCATACACACACACACACACACACACACACAGACACATACTGCTGAGTCCACACACACAGTGACTGCTGAGTCCTTACACACACACAGCGAGAGACTGCTGAGTCCACACACACACACACACAGACTGCTGAGTACATAAACACACAGACACAGACTACTGAGTCCATACACACACACACACAGACTGCTGAGTCCATACACACACACACAAAGACTGCTGAGTCCATACACACAGAGAAAGCTGAGTCCATGCACACACTGACTGCTGAGTCCATACACACACACACACACACACACTGATTCAATGCATTCAATGGCACCGAAAACGAAGGCTTTCAATAATTGAAAGTTTTCAAATGTAAGAGCCCCTCGTGGCTTTCTGAGTGACAGTCACTACAGGAATTCTGACTGACAAATGCTAGTATTGTTATTTCCACAAATATCAATTTGCTGAGTCCACACACACACAGACTGCTGAGTCCATACACACACAGACTGCTGAGTCAATATACATACAGAAAGCTGAGTCCATACACACATAGACACAGACTGCTGAGTCCATACGCACACACACAAAGACTGCTGAGTCCATACACACACACAAAGCTGAGTATATGCAGACACAGACTGCTGAGTCAATACACACACACACACACACACAGACTGCTGAGTCCATACACACACAGACTGCTGAGTCCACACACACACAGAGACTGCTGAGTCCATACACACACACAGACTGCTGAGTCCACACTCACACACACACACACACAGACTGATAAGTCCATACACACACACACACTGCTGAGTCCATACACACAGAGACTGCTGTGTCCATACACACACACACAGACTGCTGAGTCCATACACACACAAACTGCTGAGTCCATACACACACACACACACACAGACACATACTGCTGAGTCCACACACACGGTGACTGCTGAGTCCTTACACACACACAGCGAGAGACTGCTGAGTCCACACACACACACGCACACAGACTGCTGAGTCCATAAACACACAGACACAGACTACTGAGTCCATACACACAGACTGCTGAGTTCGTACACATACACATAGACTGCTGAGTTCATACACACACACACACACACACACACACACACAGTCTGCTGAGTCCATACACACACACACACACACAGACTGCTGAGTCCATACACACACTCACACACAGACTGCTGAGTCCATACACACACACAGACTGCTGAGTCCATACAGACACACACACAGACTGCTGAGTCCATACACACACACACACACACACAGACTGTCCATACACACACACACAGACTGCGAGTCCATACACACACAGGCTGCACAGTCCATACACACACACAGGCTGCACGAGTCCACACTCCCCACACACACACACACACGCACACAGACTGATGAAGTCCATACACACACACACACTGCTGAGTCCATACACACAGAGACTGCACAGATCACACACACACAGGCTGCAGATTCCATACACACAGACTGCTGAGTCCATACACACACACACACAGACACATACTGCTGAGTCCACACACACAGTGACTGCTGAGTCCTTACACACACACAGCGAGAGACTGCTGAGTCCACACACACACACACAGACTGCTGAGTACATAAACACACAGACACAGACTACTGAGTCCATACACACACACACACAGACTGCTGAGTCCATACACACACACACAAAGACTGCTGAGTCCATACACACAGAGAAAGCTGAGTCCATGCACACACTGACTGCTGAGTCCATACACACACACACACACACACACTGATTCAATGCATTCAATGGCACCGAAAACGAAGGCTTTCAATAATTGAAAGTTTTCAAATGTAAGAGCCCCTCGTGGCTTTCTGAGTGACAGTCACTACAGGAATTCTGACTGACAAATGCTAGTATTGTTATTTCCACAAATATCAATTTGCTGAGTCCACACACACACAGACTGCTGAGTCCATACACACACAGACTGCTGAGTCAATATACATACAGAAAGCTGAGTCCATACACACATAGACACAGACTGCTGAGTCCATACGCACACACACAAAGACTGCTGAGTCCATACACACACACAAAGCTGAGTATATGCAGACACAGACTGCTGAGTCAATACACACACACACACACACACAGACTGCTGAGTCCATACACACACAGACTGCTGAGTCCACACACACACAGAGACTGCTGAGTCCATACACACACACAGACTGCTGAGTCCACACTCACACACACACACACACACACAGACTGATAAGTCCATACACACACACACACTGCTGAGTCCATACACACAGAGACTGCTGTGTCCATACACACACACACAGACTGCTGAGTCCATACACACACAAACTGCTGAGTCCATACACACACACACACACACAGACACATACTGCTGAGTCCACACACACGGTGACTGCTGAGTCCTTACACACACACAGCGAGAGACTGCTGAGTCCACACACACACACGCACACAGACTGCTGAGTCCATAAACACACAGACACAGACTACTGAGTCCATACACACAGACTGCTGAGTTCGTACACATACACATAGACTGCTGAGTTCATACACACACACACACACACACACACACACACAGTCTGCTGAGTCCATACACACACACACACACACAGACTGCTGAGTCCATACACACACTCACACACAGACTGCTGAGTCCATACACACACACAGACTGCTGAGTCCATACAGACACACACACAGACTGCTGAGTCCATACACACACACAGACTGCTGAGTCCACACTCACACACACACACATACAGACTGATAAGTCCATACACACACACACACTGCTGAGTCCATACACACAGAGACTGCTGTGTCCATACACACACACACAGACTGCTGAGTCCATACACACACAAACTGCTGAGTCCATACACACACACACACACACACACAGACACATACTGCTGAGTCCACACACACGGTGACTGCTGAGTCCTTACACACACACAGCGAGAGACTGCTGAGTCCACACACACACACGCACACAGACTGCTGAGTCCATAAACACACAGACACAGACTACTGAGTCCATACACACAACTGCTGAGTTCATACACATACACACATAGACACACACAGTTCACACACACACACACACACACACACACACAGTCTGCTGAGTCCATACACACACACACACACACACAGACTGTCAGTCCATACACACTCACACACACACACACTCAGACTGCTTAGTCCATACACACACACAGACTGTTGAGTCCATACACACACACACACACACACACAGACTGCTGAGTCCATACACACACACACACAAAGACTGCTGAGTCCATACACACACAGAAAGCTGAGTCCATGCACACACAGACTGCTGAGTCCACACACACACACACACACACTGATTCAATGCATTCAGTGGCACCGAAAACGAAGGCTTTCAATAATTGAAAGTTTTCAAATGTAAGAGCCCCTTGTGGCTTTCTGAGTGACAGTCACTACAGGAATTCTGACTGACAAATGCTAGTATTGTTATTTCCACAAATATCAATTTGCTTTTGTCAGGCTGCTGGGGTACATCCTAGGCACTGTCAACTTGAGGTAGTTTTGGTGCTTACCGTTACTTTAATACTGTTCAATCCTTAACCCTACTAGCTGGTTACTAGTTATTTTCAGTAAAATTAAGCAAAACATACATGTATACATAAATGTTTTAAAGGAGCATTCCACTGAATTGGAAAAGTGGCATACCTTCTTTCTGCTGTCTTTGCAAACCCTCCCCATTTCTGTCTGTGTCGGGGACTTAACAATTCAAAAGCTTCTCTGTGGAGCTAACAGAAGTGGAAGAAACCTGTTCAATATTGACAGGTACACATATTAGATATTTTAAGTCATTTTTCTTGCAGTATTCAAAGAGTTCACACAAATAGCATAGAACAAAAAGCAAAACATTTTCTTACATGCAGTAAGTAACTCTAATTCAGCAGTAATAACTATGATTCAAGTTGTAAAATTCCCTTTTTATGACTATGTTTAAGGAATTGGCTTATTCGGTAAACTATAGAGAATTATGCATTTTAGGTCAAAATAGCTGAATAGTGAAAAAAAAAAATCTATGTATACACAATGAAAACGGTGCACACAAGCCCAGCAAAGTGAAAACAGGCTCTGACACTTAGGTGAAGGAATCCCTTGACCTCCACAACATAGAACATGCAAATAAACAAAGTATAAGTGGAGCTCTGGATTACCTGTATAAACAGTAGTATAATGAAGGTAAATACAAATGCTGTAAAAATGATCTGTAAATAGATAGCAATAAATCTTAGTGCAGATGGTAGTTACAAATAGATAAAAATAAAAGATAAATTGTAGATGGGTAACTCACAAAGGTAGAGCCAGTAGCACACTTGGCTCTAGTGGTAAGCGCCTTAGGATCTTCTAAGGGAGATCCACCACCCTCTTTTTATTTCCTCCTGATGTCTTCCACCTTAAATTCAAGTAGGAATGGAATGGCAGACTCCAAAGGACGGTATAAACAAAATTTATTATATTAAAAATATCAATATAAAATGTATATAAAAACAAAGTAGATCAAAATGCATAAAATAGTTCCAAAACGCGTTTCGCCAGTAGACTGGCTTCCTCAGTTGGTATATTAGTCGTATGTCCTCTTGTTCTTTTATATACGTCTAATGACAAAATTGCCGGCATCTGCCGGAACGGAAATTCGCTCTGTGGAACGCACACAGAGCTAGTTGGAACGCACGTACGTGCGTGCGTAAATCATGTGGTTCAGCTGTTTGACTTCCTTTTTCTTCGTTGGAACGCACATATGCATTCCACCGTCTTGGGTCGTAAAATTTGGCTGTTTTACTTCCTCATTCTCCGTGGAACGCACCGTATGCGTTCCATTGTCATGATCTTTATTGTTCATAACAAGAGTTCTTAAATAGATAGTTCATAAAATCTCAAATGTACCAATAAAAGGAAGAAAAGATAAACAAATAAAATGTTTATAACACAGAAAGACATCACAATTTGCATCAATATTAATGAATACATTATAATATTGCTTCTTAAATGTGCATAAAAATAATATACCTCTAAAATTGTGGAAAATTATTAAAATGCATATATAAAACATATGCATTTATGTTTTATTTGCAAAAAAAAAATCTAGCCTATTTTTCAAGGTTATCTAATTTTCTTCACATTTTACAATTCTTTCATCAGTTTTCAACATATTGTAGTGGTATACTCTACTAAAATGGGGACAATCACCATGGAAATCAGTTGAACCAGTCGGCACATTGCATTGATGACTCTTCCATTTTCAGTTTTTGTCTTCATGTTTACATAAAGCTCACATACAGTCAACAAATCTACTATGCTGTATATTATCATGTGTTGTTCTATCTTTTGGAATATTAATCATTGAGAACTTTTAACTTCTTTTCATCCCTGAAGTCAGCTACCGAACACTCCTAAGCGCCGAACAGGAAAACACACAAATAAATCCCCCCAAGTACGAAACGAGGCTCTGTATTGAGGGTCAAGCAGGATCTGTTTAATGTGGGCTACATGCCCGTCTTTTATGCAGGTCTTCCACCAAGGGACACTCCCATAGGGACCTTGTGGAAGACTGGGACAAGTTTATACATTAACCAATCAGAAACATATACAGCGATAAACACTCACACATGAACATTACAAACCCTCCTCTCTATCCTGGAGGTAATTGGGTTAAGTGCTAGAAGTAACTCAATTACCTCCAGGGATAGAGCATATCCTCCATTTTATAGTGAGCATAAAAACACATAAAAATATATATTCCCAAAACTACCGAACAGAATCCCCACATTCCCAGATAGCTTAGATTTGAGCGCACAATATAACCGAATAGCGCTCAGATCTCATACACACAGTTCAATCTCCATGGAGCTAAAGTCTTGAACAAAGTGCGTTTGTCTAAACGAATGGGCTCCATGGGATGGCTATCTGGGACAGCTCTGTTCATATAAAGTCAATGTACCGAAGTGGTCGTATCAATCTGGAACGGAACGAGGAAGGGTCGGTGACTTCAGCGGTGTTCATATGAAATAGTGTCCGATTTTAGTTCCACGGGTTTGCTGACGAACAGTGCTGGGCTTTCGACTGTCCAAGATGGCCACGTGTTTGATCATACGAACGACGACCACCCAGGTGACCATTTGGGAGTTGGAAGTGTCTGCAGTTGACCACAGTGTTAATGAGGGCAGAAAGGTTAACAAGCAGCACACTTCCCTGCTGGGTGGCCTGCCGTTCGGTAGTTCTTTTGTATATAGGGGAATAAAACGTAGGGCCGTACGGACAAGTGGCAATTACCGAACAAACAGACGAACCAAGGTTAAATCACAGTAATCCAAAGACAGAGAGGTCTGTCACATCAAGTATAACATTGCAGGAGATAGATACAATATGCACATCATAACCAGTAGTATCACAATATAAATATAAGTAGTGAAGAGAGGGTTTTTTTTTTTTACAAAATGTAGGATATACATGTAAAATTAAACTGATGTATTCCATGGGGCTCAATACTAACCCTTGGAGAGGGTACCCCCGCCCATACTATAACGGATGATATTCTAGTACTGACATGGGAAATGTGGGTGGGGGGGATTATTACCCTCCATATTATGCTTATGTGGGTGCTCTCTTGTCGGCTAGTGTGAATTGCCTTAGATAGCTGTGGGGGAACCCAACTAGGTTCAGAGCTGGACAGCATCCCTGTGGATAGTCTGAACTGTAGTTCAGAGGGTGAGAAAGGGCCACTTAAAGTGAGCTAGCAATCAATAATTAAAGTGGTAGAGAAAAAAATAAAAAATAACACAAAGTAAATATTACAGAAAAGGATAACAACAATCACAGCAGAACATAGGTTGTATTTAACTTTCCAGACTAGGTGGCACCTTATCCAACCTGGACCTTTTAGTTTTGTGACCGATCTGGTTCAATGTTTGCTCCTCTTTTGTCTATTTTAATACAATACTTTGTTTTTGGAGGTGATGTTCTATTGGTGTTTCACATTTGAAAAAACATTTTGCAATTGAATATTCTTTTGACAAGTGTGTGTTTCGGAAAACAACCTTGCTGGTTAGTTTATGGGCTGCCTGCACATAGTCAATAATATGTGCTCAGAGCCACTCGAGGTGTTCCTATTACCGAGAGATCTGAGGCTGGTTTGGAGAATCTTCAAAAATATATCTCTGCTCTCCTGCACCTTATCTGTTGCGATCACCTGGCCTATAGGTGATAATAAAATTGAAACGAGACAAAAATAGTGACCACCTAGCCTGCCTGGAAGACAATCTTTTGGCTTCGCTAAGATAGGATAGGTTCTTGTGATCCGTAAAAATGAGGATAGGATCCTTAGTTCCCTCTAACAAATGTCTCCACTCTTTAAGTGCTAAAATAATAGCAAGGAGTTCACGATTACCCACATCATAATTTTTCTCTGCTTTGGACATTTGTTTAGAAAAGAAGCCGCATGGATGCAATGGCTTCTCAGGCGACTCTCTTTGGGACAAGACAGCACCTACCCCAATATCCGAAGCATCAACTTCAAGAATATAGGGCAGTGAGGGGACAGGATGCTGTAAAATAGGTGCAGAGGCGAACGTAGTTTTAAGAAATTCAAAAGCCTGAAGTGCCTCGGTAGACCAAACACGAGTATTGCCATCCTTTTTAGTCATACGGGTAATAGGTGCTACAATGGACGAGAAACCTTTGATAAAACGTCTATAATAATTGGAGAACCCAAGAAAACGCTGAATAGCTTTCAGACCTTGCGGTAGAGGCCATTCTATTACAGCAGCTAGCTTCTGGGGATCCATACGAAAACCTTTAGCGGAAATCAAATACCCCAAGAACTGGACTTCGGTTTGGTCAAACAGACATTTTTCTAGCTTGCAATAAAGACCATTAGCAAGAAGGGTCTTCAAAACTGTCGTAACATGTCTGTGATGAGTGTGTATATCTGCAGAATATATTAAAATGTCGTCCAAGTATACGATAACAAATGTGTGAATAAAATCTCTCAATACATCATTAATAAATTCTTGGAATACTGCTGGGGCATTGCAAAGCCCAAATGGCATAACAGTGTATTCGTAATGACCGGATCTAGTGTTGAATGCAGTCTTCCATTCGTGATTTTCCTTTATACGTATCAAATTGTATGCATTCCTAAGGTCTAATTTAGTGAACACAGTGGCATGTTTCAGCCTGTCAAATAATTCTGTAATCAAAGGTATAGGGTATGCATTTTTGATAGTGATTTTGTTTAGACCTCTATAATCTATACACGGTCTTAAATCACCTTCTTTCTTCGATACAAAGAAGAACCCTGCTCCAGCTGGAGAAGAGGATCTCCTAATAAACCCTTTTTCTAATGATTCCTTGATGTACTCCTCCATGACACGGTTTTCTTGAACCGATAAGGGGTACACCCTGCCCTTTGGAGGTATAGTGCCAGGCAACAAGTCAATAGCGCAATCATAGGGTCTGTGAGGCGGTAATTTCTCAGCCTCCCTTTTATCGAAAACAGTCTTTAGAGATAAATACTGAGGGGGTATAACCATAGACAAAGGAGGACTGGTAGGTACCTCAATAGAATTCAAAGGTGTGACTTCCAACGTACAAGACTCGTGGCAGGCCTTACTCCATGATTTTATTTGCCCTGTCTCCCAGTCAAAAATGGGATTGTGAGCACGTAACCATGGATACCCTAATACTAACTGTGAAGAGGGAGAGGTGATAACCTGGAATCGAATGGTTTCGTAGTGTAAAACCCCTGTGTACATGTGTAGTGGTTCAGTCTCATGAGTAACAACTGGAGAACTTAATGGTCTACCATCTATGGCCTCAACGGCCAAGGGTATCTCCTTCTCTCTGATGGGAATGTTGTTTCTCTTTATAAAGCCAGAGTCTATAAAATTTTCAGCTGCCCCAGAGTCAACCAGAGCATATATGTTGTCAACTATACAAATCTCTCCCATATATAAAGAAACCGGGAGAAGCAAGCGGTTAGGAGGCAATTTAGGAGACTTAGATATCACACCCAAGGCCAGTCCCCTATAAGGTCTTAGGTGCGAGAGTTTTCCGGGAGTAAAGGACATTCCTTTACCATATGGTCTCTCCTACCACAGTATAGGCAGAGTCCCTCCCTTCTCCTATGTAATTTCTCAGTATCAGAGAGTTTGGCAACCCCTAATTGCATAGGTTCCTCCTCAGACACTTTAACACTCTCTGGTATATTAACTCTGGGGTTAATGGGTGTAACAAAACGTCTATTCCTGTTCTTGGTATAGAGCCTGTCACGAATTCTATTATCAATATCAATGAGGTAATCGATAAGGTCCTCTAAGGCAATAGGAAGCTCCTTAGCTGCTACCTCATCCAATATCGTATCTGACAAACCTTCCATAAAGGCAGTAGTTAACCCATTGTTGGTCCAATCTACCTGCGAAGCAAGAGTGCGAAACTGAATAGCATAATCAGCCACAGACCTAGAACCCTGTTTAATTCTCATTAATGCTCTTGCGGCATTCTTTGACCTTTTCATTGTGTCAAAAGTTCTACGAAAAGCCGTAAGAAAACTGTTGAAATCATGTACCATAGGCCCATTAGCTTCCCAAATAGGATTTGCCCACTCAAGTGCCTTATCGGTAAGTTGGTGCATAAAGAACCCAACCTTAGACTTCTCTGTGGGAAATGAACGTGGATACATTTCAAAGTGAAATTCAATCTGATTAATAAACCCTCTGCAAGTCTTAGAGTCCCCTCCATACCTAGGAGGAGGTGTTAAATGGGCCGAAGTATTAGGCAAAGTAGATACTTCAGGGAGAAGGGGCGTAGGAGGGTTAGGTGTAGTTGCTGGAACGGTTCTAGCTAGGAGCGTCTGGAGAGCCTGAGCTATTTGATCCATACGGTGATCCTGCTCTACAAATCTTGCCTCATGGGACGCCATCTGTTGAGCTAAATCTGCGGGGTCCATGGCCCTATCGTAATGTAACGAGAATATACCCCTACACGCAGGATCCAGCTAAACAGAGGCAAATACAGAGGAGAGATACGTCTACCGGACCTTAGAATGGCCGGACTCGACGTATATGAGAGAAGACAGAGCCAGGAACAAACCGAGGTCAAGGGCACAGAGAGACAGCGTAAACTAGGACAAGCCGGGGTCTGGTACACGGAAAACAGCAAGCCGGCAAACAGTACAGATAAGGATAAAGCGAAAACGAAGTCAGAATACGAAGCCAAAGTCAATACGAGAAAACACAACTGAACACCACAAGCGCTAAAGGGAACTGAAACAGAAACCACGATAGGGCAAGGAACAAAGGGAAGAAGGTGAGTATAAATACCTAAACATCTAATTTGATTGGTCCCTGTCATATCCACGCCCCCAAAAGGTAAGTGTATGGGGAGTGTGGTATGACAGGGACCAATGGGATGCCTTTTCCAATTTAGGCACCCACTGTCCCTTTAAGAGCGCGCCCGAGACTCGCGGCGCGCTCTTAGTTTCAGGCGGGACACGTGACCGCCTCACGCGGTCACTGCCCGCCCTCCAGCCGAAGTAGTTGGATGAGCCGCGCGCGGCTCGTGCAGCCGCAGGACCGCGCGCGGCTTGAAGAGAGGACCGCGACCGGCCCCCGGTTAAGGTAAGTAACGCTACACAAGGATGGACTGATGTGGGTACCACTAACTTGAAGGATGAGGAAAGACAAGGAGTTCAGTTTTAGAGAGATTGAGTTTCAATAATAATGAGGACATCCAGTCAGAGATGGAAGAAAGGCAAGTAGTGACACGTTGCAGGACGGCAAGGAAGTGGTCCGGGGAGGAGAGGTATATCTGAGTGTCATCAGCGTACAGGTGGTATTGGAATCCAAATGAGGTAATAAATTTGCCAAGAGAGGGAGTATAAAGAGAAAATAGAAGGGGACCAAGAACTGAGCCTTGGGGGACTCGAACCAAGACAGGACAAAGGGAGGAGGTATCATTAGAAAAGTAGACACTGAATGAGTGTTAGGAGAGATAGGAGGAAAACCAAGAGAGGACAGTGTCACAGAGACCAAGTGATTGAAGAGTTTGGAGTAGGAGAACATGGTCAACAGTGTCAAAGGCAGCAGAGAGGTCAAGAAGAATTAGTATGAAGTAGTGCACTTTGGATTTAGCTGTGATTAGGTCATTAGTGACTTTAAGAGCAGTCTCAGTAGAGTGAAGGGGGCAGACGCCAGACTGAAGAGGGTCAAGGAGAGAGTTGGAATTGAGGAAACAAGTCAGATGGGTAAAGACCAGTCTTTCCAGAAGCCTTGAGGAAAAAGGGAGCAAGGATATGTGACAATAGTTAGAAGGGAAGGATGGGTCAAGAGATGTTTTCTTTAAGATGGGTACTACAGTAGCATGTTTAAGGGCAACAGGGACAACACCAGAAGAGAGAAAGCAGATGTATGCAGAGGTTGAAGATGTGTGTTATGGAAGGCACAAGACAAGAGGAGAGACAGGACAGAATCAAGTAGGCAAGTGGTGGGGCGAGAGGAAAGGAGAAGTGCAGCCATCTCTTGTTCAGTAGCCTGGGAGAAAGTCTGAAGGGTAAGAATGGCATGATCCAGGTGTGGTTGAGAAATGGAAGGGCAAGGTGGTGAGAATTATTTCCTTATCTGTTCAATCTTGTCGGTAAAGTAGCATGTAAAGCTATCAGCTGTAAGGTTAGTTTGGGGGATGGCAACAGCAGGGCAAAGAAGGGAGTTAAAGGTATTAAAAAGATGCCTGCGATTGCAGGAGCATGGGCTAATGAGGGACGAAAAGTATGGCAAGGGCAAGGGTAAATGCAACATGAATTTGTAGTGGAAGAAGTCCGACTGGGTGCGAGACTTCCAGCAGCGTTCAGCAGAATGGGAGCAACTCTGCAGGTAGCGTTTTGATTTAGTGTGCCATGGTGGAGGCGTGTTCTCCTCAAGGTGCATGTTTGGAGTGGGGCTGCAGCGTCCAGGGCAGAGGTGAGGGTAGTGTTATGTGAGGAGATAGCCAGTGAGGGATAGGAGAAAGTAGGGATGGATAGAAGTTGGGAATCAATATTAGCTGATAGCTGTTGGAGGTCAATATAATTCAGATTTATTCTTAGTTGAAGGGGTTAGGTTGAAGATGATGGGGTAAGGGGCTATTGAAAGCAAATGTTAAGAGGTGGTTATCTGAGAGAAGAAATGGGGTGTTGCAGAGATTAGAGATTGTACATTCATGAAAGAAAATAAGATCAAGGGTATTTCCAGCTACATGGATAGGGGACTTAGCCCACTGCGATAGCTGAAGAGAGGAGGTCATTTAAAGTACTTTTGAGGCTACTGAGGCCAGGGGTAGATTAATGGGAATGTTGAAGTCCCCAAGAATTAGGTCCTCAAGTATTACATGGGAGAAAGAAGGAGCCTAGATGAGACACATCAAAGTGTTCTGTTCTAAAAAGTGGTGTTATATATAATATATCACTATGGAAACCAGTTAAATGAATAGTCACATTGCATTATTTACTCCTCCCTTTTAAGTCTATGTGCAAGTTTTAAGAACTGGTGCAAAAACATAAAAGTGGTTGATAAAGGTAATTGATAAATCTCTCTCAAATATCTTGACATAAGGCAGGTTGTCTGACGATAGCTTTAGCTGAGATATGTTTCCTCAACTGGATGAAAAGTAGCTGGGGCAGACCACTGGCAGATCCAGAGTGGGGGAAATTGCCCCCCTCCCTGCCGAGGCACTCCCCTGCTGGCTAATGCAGGGCTGGCACTGTCCAAGCACCAGCCCTGCAATGTGCCTACACAGAGCTGTAGTGGTTATTGTGCATGGATCTGGATCCGCCACTGGGGCAGACATAAAAGGTGTTTTTGTGATATATTTTGTTTTGCATCCAATAATATGTATATATTATGGATGTGCATGTGCAAAAAATTTGGCTTGGTTCAGAAAAATTTAGGTCAATAAAAAAATGTGTCTGCTTTGGCAATTCGGACCAATGGCATTCGGTTTGTTTTGGCACTTCAGAACTTGTGGTGGCAGTCCTGGCACTGGTAGGCAGGAGCCCTATAGATGTGTAAGTTGTTGTGGTGGCCATCCGGGCACTGGGAGGCGGGAGCCTTATAGATGGGTAGGTGGTTGTGGGAGCCCTATAGATGTGTAAGTGGTTGTGGTGGCAGTCTTGGCACTGGGAGGCGGGAGCCTTATAGATATGTAAGTGGTTGTTGTGACAGTCCGGGCACTGGGAGGCAGGAGTCCTATACATGTGTAAGTGGTTGTGGTGGCAGTCCGGGAGTAATGGGCAGGGGGCTCCCAGTGCCCGGACTGCCACCACAACCACTTACACATCTGTAGGGCTCCCAGTACCCTCACTGCCACCACAACAACTTACACATCTGCAGGGCTCCCAGTGCCAGGATTGCCACCACAACCACTTACACATCTGCAGGGCTCCCAGTGCCAGGATTGCCACCACAACCACTTACACATCTATTGGGTTCCCAGTGCCCGGACTGCCACCACAACCACTTACACATCTTTTGGGCTCCCAGCGCCAGGAATTAACTTATTGCTCACGATTCCTGTCATCATTCACGTAATTTTCACTCCCTCTCTTTTGTTTTGCCACTTTTCAGAAATCTGAAGCACTTCGGATCTTCGGCAATATGGAACTTCGGCACTTCGTAAGCATCCAAATGTCCAAATTTCACGAAATTCTTCTGAATATACATTCAGAACTAAACAAATAGCACATGTCTAGTATATATATATTATGGATAGTGAATCGATTGTTTCTTCAATAAATCCTTAATAGGTTTGTAGTGCTAGTATTTTTCCTATTGATATTACAGGCAAGGGGTACCCAACCTTCAGCACACCAAATGTTGTGGACTGCAACTCTCCTGATTTTTTGCCTAAATTATGGCTGTAAGGGCATTATGGGAGATATAGTCCACAACATCTGGAGAGCAAAAGGTTGCCTACCACCGTTATAGGTTTTTCCTTTCTTTAATTGGTGAATGAATTGATGTGCACCTCTGTGGATTGTACTACTTGAAAAATGTGATCCTTACAGGCTAGGTTTATATCATAGAAATGAAATGGATGTATTTTCAGATTTGTGTTAGACAATGAGAGAGTAACCTAGCTTTCGGCTCATATATAAGTTAGAATTTAGTGTTAGAAGAATGAAAAGAAGAACAAAAAACAAATTTTTTTTTACCTCATTGTGACATCACCATTTGATATCATATTATTTTTCCTCTCTTGCAGCGGTTTGCTTGCATATTGATATGGAGTCACAACAGTAACAAACAACAAATGTGATTTAAACCTTTTGATTAAAAAACAACAACAATGTGCAAAACACAAAGTGAAAGTGCACCCTTCAAAAGCAATACAAGTATATAATGAATGGTGTCAGGAGATGGCAGGCGAATATCAGCAGTGCCTAAAACAGAACAATAGAATACATAGTGTGTACTGTAGGATAAAGGTGAATGATGTATAATAAATGGTTACACTCACAAATTCCAGAGCCGTGTCAGGCTCTGTATAGTAAGCCCAATGGTGCCTGTGCAGGCCAACGGTGAATACCCATGGACCACTGTAGCAGATGGATCATGGAAGTAAGGATTGCAGCAGCAGCATATAAAAAATACAAAGATTTATTATGGTGATAAAACACTAAAAGTTAAAATGAAAACAAGGGCGAAAAATACTTCTGGATATAGTAGAAGAGAACAGACGCGTTTCGACAATTCAGTCTTTGTCAATGTCTCTGAGAATTCCCATGTGTTGTGCTGCATAAATATCTTGTTCGATTAGTGATTTCCTTCATCTGCGTGGGTTCCAGTTTGCGTACATTACGTAATTTCCGGTCCGCGAGGTGAGATGTCATATCCTCTTTGGAAAGGTATTTCTGTAAGTGTCACATCCCATTCATGGGATCCAGCGGCCATATTTGTTAAGGGCTATATGTCTTTAGAGTCTTTATCAAATGTTTATATACATTTGAACAAAATATGTGCACAACAAAAAGGAGGAAAATAACAAACTTGACTTTATATTAACTTGATTTCTGGAATATTTTAAAAGCTGGCTGTAAAGTCAAGCATTTATGGCTTGGTTGGTACTGTGCACTAACTTGATGTGTTTGGTAAGTGTAATCCTTTTGAAATGCTGTAGATAGAATATGTCCATGATCAGTATAGAGGCTTGTGACAGTATTGCAGAAACACTAAATATAACAGACCTAGAACCTAGGTAACCATTAATGTTAAATGCTTAATCAAACTTACTCTAGTCTAGAGGATGTTGTGATTTGACAGTTGTGAGTTTCTGCTGGGAATAAGTCTCCTATCTATCTTAATGCAGTGATTAATTAATTAATATAACAGTTTTAAATACAACAAGTGTGTGTATATATATATTTTTTAAATTTGCAGTTTAATTGGTGTATTCATATTCAGAATTTACAAAACTTTCAGAAGTGCTTAAAGTGGCTTTGTGGAATACTGTAAAAGCAGTTTCTATGTTCCCCAATGGCCAGGCATATTTGATAGTTTTATATAAATTCTACTTTTTAGTTTTGTAAGTCACTATAATTCTTTCTCCTTAAGACTTCACAGGTTTAAAAAGTTATTATTCATGTATGTGTGTACCTTTTTGATGAATTAATGTGTGTAGTCTGGGGTGGAGGGGGAGAGACACAAAAAATGCTAACGGCTCCTTTATTCTGTATTTTGTGGAATTTCAATACTACAAAGCTTTAATATTGTCCGACAGTCAACCAATGGGTTGTTTAGTTTCATGTTTTTTGAGCACTTTAGCACTATGCACTCCCTATTTGCTTAGTTAATCAAGTTTTTATTTTTACTTAGTCTTGGTAGGACTGAGGGGAGGGCGATGTACCTAATCTGGGTCAGCTATTAGAATAGAACACCTATTATTATGTATTGTTCTGCAGTAGCTTAATGCACCACTACTTGGTTTAACCGGACTCTTTATAAATTGGTCAACTGAGCATAAACCGCAACATTTATAACTGGTTTCAAACAATGTGAGATAAGGTCCTTACAGTCTAAATCGCTTGGTTATACAGACCGGATTAAACAGGCCCAACTTAGTAACGTACTAAGCATTTAGAAGTCAACAGTTCATGTTGGAAAAATATGTGCCCACTGTGGACACACTGTACCCATGTTGTGCTATTATAACTCTTTATCAGATGTATGAGTTACCTTGTTTTTCTGGGCCATGGAATGGTCCATGAGACTGTCTCATAGGTAATGGACCTACTATGACTGATGTCCATCTTACACATGCGACATGAAATGGGTAACCTGAGCAGGGTAATATAATCATTGTGGAGGATATCTATTTCTACTGTTACTGTACAATATACTTATAATGTGTGTATGACGTGACTGCGCTTACTTACAATCTTGTTTCAATGTGACTGCATTCACATATCACCTGTCTCGATGTCTATAATGCAAAATTTAATTTAAAAAATTATATATGGAAAAAAAAAGAATAGAACACCCATGAAGGTGTTTTCTAGGAGACTCAGGGCTGCCTTAGACTCAAGGATTTAGCGATATGAGACTTATCATTGTTTTTTTTTTTTTCTCGTATATGCATTACCCCTCTGATGGAGGGAATTTGATATTTTATTGCTGGCTGCTATAGACATCTATATAGGCATTAACCATTTTTGTAGTCTCATTGCTAGCACTTCCTTGTAACTACTTCCTGAAGTACATTCCACTTATTAGCCCTTCTCCACAATATTGTATACTTTAAATGTAACCCACTATGATATATGTCCTCCTCCTCTTTTTATTGTAGCTCCCCTATGGTAGACTTTATATATTTCACTGCTTAGTGAACTTCCCTCCCTTTGCTATTCTGTCCTTCTTTCTTTGAAGCAATAGTTATATTTAGCAGATCAAGCCACACTATAATATAGAGAGACTCTGAAGCCAAGCATGTATATAGGGGTATCTGTCTACATACATAGAGACTACACTCTTGCCCAGCTCTTCAGTTTTTGTATCTAATTGTATCCTCCAATTTCTAATTGAATAAAGTTTACCCTTGTTTTGATACTTTTGAAGTATTGTAGCTGGAGGAATTGTATCTCTATCCTACCAAGTTTAGCTGAGTATCACTTTATTTCCCAATACCAATCAGGAATCCACCATTCTCATAAGGATTCTTCTTATTTCTATATTTAACTACTTCAAAGATTCAGGCCCATGGTGGATCTGGTACCACCAAACTGATGAGTTTGGATTTGGTGACATTGCTTTTCTGAATTAATACTTTATATATTGCAAGCATATATTCATTTAATTATATATATACTCTGCTTTATGATATATTAATAGATTAACATGTTTTTGTATATCTATATTCATTTATATTCAATAAACTATTTTAGAAAGACAAAAGGTTATTGCTTCCAATTCCCTATTTTCATATATTTTTTATATATTTTGAATAGAGAAACTCTTACCAACTATATAATAGCATAGCTAAGATATTTGTATTTTTAGCCCTGCTAAATTCTATGTTTTAAGATGTTATAGAGGCAAATAGGGGTACTAGCTGTTACACACTGACAGACTCACTAACACACACACACACACACACCACACACACACACTTACAGACACACTGATAGACACACTCACTGACAGGCATACACACACACACTCACAGATAAACTCCCTCACTGACAGACACACACTGACAGACACACACACACACACACACACACTCACTCACTGACAGATATACACAACTGACAAACACACACACACTCACTCAGTGACAGACACACTCCCTGACATATACACACTCACTCACTGACAAGCATTCACACAATCACTGACACAATTTTATTTTTTGAGACCCATCCAGCCTCCATATCTTTGTGAGAGCTGGTGTAAGTCCTCTCCTATCCCTGGGGTGCAGTGTGGGGCAGTTCCTCATTCCTTCCACGTGCAGTTTAGTATGCCGGGAGCCAGAATTACATCATGTTCCGGCTCCCGGCATCACAGAGGGCGTGAGGGAGGAGTGAGGAGCTGCAAAATCAGCCTCCCTCCCCGCAAACACTGCCACCTGCCTCCCCCCCCAGGCAGGCCCACTGTGACAGGGCTCCTTTCTGCGGCACCAAATTCGAGCACCTGCAGGATCAGCCCGGTACTGGGAGTTGCAGCTCAAGAGCCGCTCGCCTATCGATCCAGCCCAAGACAGGGGCAGCCCACCAGGAAACATCCCAGTGGGCACCATCAGCAGACAGGCGCCCCAGGCGAATGCCTAATTCGCCTAATGGCAGTGCCGGCCCTGTAAGCAAATAGTATTGTTTATAAGTATTTATTTAGTGTATGTCGTTTAGTGCATGAGGAACGGCTGCAAAATATCATGAATGAAAAGAACACAAATGCTCTACCTTGGTGAAGTCTGTTTCATTTTGTACCCACTATCATGACAGTTCATCTCCAGCTACTTCCAGCTGTGTGTATAGTGTGTTTGAACAAAGATAATTATAAAAGCTGAGTATGTCTGTGTTCCGCAAAGCTCATCAAAATAATATGCACAATATGCTCAACAGCATTGAAAAGAAGGCACTTCTGTTATACAGAAAACATATACCATGAACGCAGGACTGAGTTTAACCATTTACTGTCCAACTCTTTGCTTTAAAATGTATTGAAGTTAATTGTGGCAGTGAAAGGGATTAACCCACTTACAACATATTAGTGTAAGTGTAGCAAGGAATGATCAGGAAATTGACTCCTCTGACACTCACAGTATTTGGAACATGATTAATGAATAATGTTTTATTAACCATTTAAGTGTACTACCTCAAATTGGCCTTATTTATGTAAACGTTCTTATAAAATTATCTTATCCAGAGCATTTTACAAAATATAGCAATGGCTCAGAGTTTGGATTACAGACAGTGAGATATATGATTATATATGTTGGAATGATAAGTCTTTACTCAGTCTAATGGGAAATCTGGCCCTGCCAAGGGAGGCATAGCAAGGGTTGCATAAAGATAAAGCGATTAAACTCTTAAATGATAGAAAATGCAGCAGTTAGAATTGAGCATCAAAAATACTTCATTCAGCCAAAGTCATTTTGGTGCTAAAGTATCCCTTTAAATTATGAGATTTCTGCCTATAAAAACTATTGGCTGAATTCCAGCGGACAGAAAACCTTGTGTGCTTTCTGATGGCATTTTCATCTGTTATTAGATTTTGCAGCTTTGTTGAAAGGCACAGAAAGCAAGCTGTACATAGGTACTGGCAAAAAGAAAGTATTTTAGAGTTGGACAGAGATGCTAATAAAGAATTTAACAAAACAAAAAATCTATAAAATGTGTGTTGGCACCTGAACTGTCCCTTTAATTAGGAAAATAATTTTTTTAGCAGTATTAATTTTCCGTATTCTGCTTTAGAACCTCGACATTTGTGGAAATTCCTAACACTATGTGTATTGAACATTTAGTATTTAGGAAATAAAGAACTTCACATTTGATGCAAAAAAAAAAAAGGAGCGAATTGACATTTCATAACGTAACTCTCTCTAAATGTAAAGCTTGCACTCCTGCTGCCCTTGTATCTGACTTCATTCCAGCAACTGTGCGAAGACGCACGCTTCTACTGTCTGCATCTCCGCTTTATTCACACTCTATCTGCATCTCTTAGGGAATGAATCAAGTGAATTTCATCTCCTTGTAATAGCTTTATATATATATATATATATATTTTTTTTTTTTTTTTTGCGAATGCATTGTTTTAATGTGAGCGGAGGGGGAGACATTTGTGCAGCCACGGGTGGTAATACAAATTTAACTTCCTGC